ATTCCTGTTTCTGTATACCCCATATAGCTAATGAAGACAAATACCCAGTTGTTTTTCAAAATCCTTTCTAGATCTTCTCATCACACCACAAGTGAAGCACAAACTCAAATGCTTGAATGAAGCTCCGAAGGTTTGAGAATCTATTGCGATCAATAATTCATTCGAATGATGGACAACTTTCAGATATCTCAGACAACGGACAGGGAGTGATTGGATTGTATGTATCTGATCTGTCCAGACTCCAAGATGGCATTGTTGGTGGTGGTAAGGGGAAGCCACATAGGCAGGAAAGGGTGGCGAAGGATCAGGCGGTGCCTGGCTACAGGTGAATGACTCGACGGAAGATGGGGTACTGCACATAATATTGGGATTCTATATCTAGACTATCATCAAAGTACAATGATTGGTGTCTCTAAAAGTCAGCAAACTCCTTGTCAATCTCCTCAAAGTAATCAAAGAACCCCTTGAACAGCTGCACTCCCAAACCAGGGTCCCGACTGCCCGTCGTCGCACGGATACTATGCATACTGAGCTGGGGAATGCCCACATCGATCGCCCGCATGCCAATCCGGGAGCTGGTCATGGGTCCGATCGTGCCGCCGCTGCGGGAATCATTGCGGATCTGGAAGACCTGCAGGGTCGAACCGCAGCGCTCAGCAACACGCTTCATGAAAGCATGACTCACACTGTCAGTCGTCATGTGCCCGTTCGAGTCGGCGGATACGGACACGCCAACGTTCAGCCGCGGTGCGTGGTTCTCCAGGTACACGTTGAGGAAGTTGGGGTTGACGGCATGGATGACGTCCGAAGAGACGAAGAAGCTGTTGGCCACGGTCTGCGCCAGCACGTTGGGACCATAGCTCGGGGCGAAGGCCTCGGCGATGCGCTCCATCACGCTGCTCATAAAGTTGGACCGAGCACCCTGGCGGAGCAAACTGCCAATCTCCTCGTCATCAAACATGCCGACCATCTTCACTGACCCCGGGGACGTGCTGTCCGGCGAGGCGATCAGAGCCTCCTGAGCCGCGTAGCAGCACAGCTTATCGTCAATCCGTCCCGCAAAGATCAGGTCCTTCTCCAGACCACCCAGCTGCGCTGGCTGACTGTCATAGAGTTCCAGCTCCCAGTTGAGAATGGTGTTGTAGTCCGTAATTCCCAATTCCTTGGAGATCACCTTGACGAGCTTCTCCGGCTGCGTAGAGGCAAATGAGCCTGCTGCAAACGGGCTAGTGGTGGATGACGTTTGCTGCTGGAAGAGATCGGAGTTATCCACACCAATAACGGGGACCATCTGTGTCTCCTTATTGAAGGGGCCCTGGGATGGCGCGCCGAAGTGCGGTGCCAAGGTGGGAATACGGGCGATCGGCCAGTCCAGCTTGACCAACTTGGACTCGACCTTTCCGCTGCTAGGGTCCCGGACCAAGACACGGCCACCAATAGACAGATCCCGATCCCACCAGGTCTCGTTCAGAGCACCAGCATATGGAGCAACCCCGAGCTGCAGAAAGCCGGCCTTCGTGGGGAGCTTGGACACAGGCTTCAACTTGGCGGTGAGGGCGTCGATGTGACCGGCCACGATGGCCATACCGTTCCCACTCTGGTAATCCTTGCCAATGGAAAACGCGATAAACGCGCTGGAGTTCCGAGTGCAATAGTATTTCCCGCCGCGTTCGAGCTTGGAGGTCCACGCTTCGCGCTCGGGCAGGCGCTTGTATCCTTTGCTTTCCAGCTGCTTGGTGAAGCCGTCAACAGCATGGAAGATGGTCGGATTCGCAGTCATGAATTCGCAGTATGGTTTCGCATAGTCATCTGGGTTAACGGAGCCCGGTTCCGCCGTAGGTTGCGCGGTGGGAGCAGGAGAGACTGGGGAGTAGTCCTGGACCGGGTCGGGGAGGTGGCCGGACGAGCTGGGACGATAGGCCATGGCAGCCTCACGGAGGCCCATGATGTTCTTCTTGGCCATGGAGCTGTATAGAAGGTAGTAGAGGTGGTTGATGAAGTAGTGGAATAGTCAAGTGGTCAATTGAGGAGGAGGAGGAGGACGAGGAGAGGGAGGGAATTGGAGAAGAGCGGAGAAGGGACGAGGTCAGCTGAGCGGAGCTTCGCTGATCATTCCGATAAGCGCCGTGACCAGTTTTGTTGCTGAGGCCCGGAGCTCCGTCGGGCGAGGGCAAAAAGTGGGCTTCATTGTAAACAAGAAGGAACCTATGGTCATTGAAATTAACTGGAATAGTCACAACAGCAATTGCTCAAGATTCACAGTAATATACGAGGGCGTGCATAGCTCCCAGGGTCTATGTACCAGCCAGGTTGATCGGGAGCTGCGTCACTGATAAGCTGCGTCCCACTTGGCCCGAGCCGAGGATGAACCACTATTTATCTCCTATCTCTCCATCTTTCTACTGTAGTCCCATACACTCCTCCTAGTCGCTCGTTCCCACATAGGCGTTCCAGTTGACATTGCCATCCTTGCAATCATCCGTGATTGCCGGTCCAACCGCAACGGCAACCTCATAGCCATTCCGGACCATCACTATTCGCACCGGCCCCGTTTGCCCATTGAACGGCACAAAAAAGTGATGAATTCCCGGACCCGACGCCTGAATTCCCGTAGGTTCCGAATATCCAATCTGAACGTACATCTCACAGGCATCTTTCACAGTAGCACTGACAAATACTCGGTCCTGGGCGAGTTCACTCGGTGGCATCACCTCCTGGCCCACGCCAGGATCATTGCCCGTCGTGCCATTGGCGCTCCCAGCGTAACTCGGATTCAGGCGATACCAGTACACCATCTTATCCTCCAAAGGTAGGGTCTGATTCGCCTGGTACAGACCGCCTATACTGCATCCTCGGTAGGCGGCAATGTAGTGGGGCAGCAGTGCCCGCCACGCATCGTGCGGGCAATCCAAGACGTACTTGGAAGATCCATCGGGCATCCCAGATTCGTAGATTGGTCCTATGTAGTGAGATTCTCCGTAATCATTCCAACTGATGATCTAAATCATTGTCAGCAGTGCCCAGCATCATCCGAGGAATGCCATACCTGGACAAAGGCCGGCTGCAAGCTCATGACTTGCTCCCACCGTATATGCCACAGATCGTCCCCGCGCCAGAGCCAGTTCTTGCTCCACTGGGGTAGATTGGTGTAGAACCAGGGCGAGACGGGCATCATGTACGGCTTTCCGGAAAGAGCGTGCATCCATTCTCGATCGCTCGTCACGTTTTTGTTCTGTGCCCCCACCGGCCAGGCATCCCAGCTGAAAGCGCCGTCAATGATGTCCAGGTAATCCCTAAGCTTGGCCGGCCCCATATCGGGCCAGGATGGCATGAAGAAGCAATCAGCAGACCCTTTGATGTACGGCCAGTCGCCTGCATTAGCAGCCCCTATAAATGTCGAGACTAGCGGCTTTCCCTGGTAGTGATATTGGGCACTTCGATTCCGGTAGGTGTTGATCGTTGAGATCACCCGATCGGCCGGCCATGGCCCCCCTGATCCATAGTCAAAAGACAGAAAGAGGGAGAAATTCCCAACTCTCTCCGCTGCAGAGTACGCTTTCTCGAGGACATCATCCGTGTAGCTGTCCTGGGGAGCAATGTTCAGTGCAAAGCCATCAATATGAGCTCTTTGTGCCTCTCTGATGTCCGACTCCCATTGCTCGGGGGTCATAGCAGCGGCATTTCCAACCTGACACAGTCAGTGAGTCATTCTCTCAAAAGGCAGCAGGACTCACGATAAAATGGGCAAAAACGGTTTGTGGGCCAGTTCTGGCGAGCACCGGCGTTGCAACTAAGAACCATAAGATTAGACAGTCGATCAGCATTTCATCCAGTGTCTGGCATCAATTGTTGATTTCCAAAAAGCTGAGTGGATGGAGATTCGTGTATGGTCAATTGAAAGTAAAGTAGTACTATCCTGAGCGCAATATAAGCACGCCTAACTTAGTACACTTTGCTCTCGTATACAGTCTGCAGTCGCTAGACGCCTAAGAGTGCAGTCTCAATTGTTCCAACCAACATGTACATGATACACAGGCAATCTACACTATAAACACAGGGGATCACTCATATTGCTCCAGAAGGGATCCTGCAACAGTAACAAAGTGGACGGATACAAAAACGACATAGAATGAAGGGAAGCGACTTAATGACAAGACAAAGGTGATCATTTCCCGATAGGATCAATCACAGCGTTCAGGAATGGGGTGAACAAAGTATGAAAATGCGGTACAAACCTGGAGGTAATGGCGGCGGAGGACGGTGATACGGCTGATTGGGCGGCGGACCCGTCTGCTCAACAGGCTGGGAAGATGGCTCCAATATCTCTCTGGCATGACGGGTAATCCGGTCTAGCCAACGATCGAGGTGTTTCATGATGGAATTTGAGGAGGGAGATCAGGGCGCCGCGAAGAATTCGGCCAAGACAGGAGTGAGCCGGCGAGAATGAAGGGCGTCTTATTGGCTCAGGGAGCAAGCGTCTCATTCGGCAATCAGAGACGCCCTCTTCAAGAAATGACAGCGACGAAGATTTTCAGGGCGTTCAGCCGGGTGCTGTACAGCTTCGATGACACGGGGAAGACAGAGATCATAAATGGCGGGGACCGGCTTGGCAGTGCACCCGAGAGCTTTTAGGCAGAAGTTCTTCCTGTTGACAACTGTTGATAACAGTTGACAACACGAAGCACGAGTTACCCAGGAGAGAAAATCGAGCCACCAATGCAGAATCATGCATCTAAAGTTAGACCCGACTCGCGATAAGCGACGGGCGAAATGGGATCTGCAACGCGGCCAGCTCCAACATGGACAAGCAACAACGGGGTATCTGACAGTACTCAAATCCTGTGCGTCCTAGAGCTGCATGATTGGAGATTTACCTCATTTGCCATGTGCACAGTCAATATCGGGACCAGTCGATAGTTGTTGTCGAGGGCATTGAATGGTGGTGATGAATGACGTCATTTGGGAAATGGCTCTCTGAAACAAAGAAATCCGGAGAGCACCAAAGGACAGTAAGTCGGGTCACTAACGCTGCCTATCACAGTGTGCTGTAGAGTTCACGGCCGTGTTCAAGCTTTGAACCAGATATGGGGCACCATTGCTGGAGAGCATGACGGGCATGACAGGCACCGACCTCACTGTGATGTCAGATATGAAGGCCCCGCGAGAGGCGACACAAAAACCCCCGTGCGCCCGGTAGTCCTACAGCATTGATTTCTTTGTCGATATTGTTAATACTGTATCAATATTCTCGCTCAGTCCTTTTGAAAGCCAACTGCGATCGCAACTATGGCTGCAACACAAGCTGCCAATCTCGTGGAGAAGGCAGTCGGACATAGCGGCAACGCTTCCGTCACCACGGATGTGAGCAATTATTACGGGGAGTATGGCCAGGAGACTGGTGAGAAGATCAAGGCGACCATCTGGACAGGTAAAAACCATGTCGAGGTTGGTAAGTAGAATCTGGATATGGCTTGGCTTTCTGCTTTCGTTCTTCTGACCACCGTATGATAGTGGAGATGCCTAAGCCAAGAATTGTGGATGAAGACGACGTACTCGTCAAGGTGACTGGCAGCACCATCTGCGGAAGTGACCTCCATCTATACCATGGTATGTTTTCTGTGTCTGAGTTAAGTCTCTCATGCTTCGTGGTGTCCCTAACTGCTATTGTCCTCTCTTGCAGGAGTCATCCCTCAGCTTGAGAAGGGTGATGTATTGGGGCATGAGTTCTGCGGTGTTGTTGAAAGTGTAGGACCAGGGGCAAAGTCGGTGAAAGTGGGAGATCGAGTGGTGGCAGCATTCCCCATTGCGTGCGGCGAGTGTCGGAACTGCAAGAAGCAGCTGACCTCCCAATGCGAGCGCACCAACCAGAACAGTGTCACAAATGCCATGTATGGTAAACGGACGTCCGGTATGTTACCATTCTATGCTAATTCTAACCTCTACCTCAATATCTGATGCTAACCTGCATCCTGGGCAGGCATTTTTGGCTACAGCCACTTCACTGGAGGTTTTGCTGGTGGTCAAGCAGAGTATGTCCGGGTTCCATATGGTGATGTCAACCTCCTGAAGCTACCGGATGATGTCCCAGACGAGAAAGCGTTGTATTTGTCCGACGTCCTGGCCACTTCGTACCACTGTGTGGTCGACACCGGGGTAACGGAAGGCGATGTAGTCGCCGTCTGGGGTGCGGGACCCATTGGCCAAATGGTGGCTAGCTTCAGCTTCTCACAGGGAGCCAGTAGAGTCATCCTCATTGATGGGGGAGAGGGCGCCTGGCGCTTGGACTTCGTCCAGAGCAAACTTCCAAAGCTTGAGACCTTGGACTTCACCAAGCTGCCCAGAGGGGAATCCATTACATCTCAGTTGAAGAAGATGGTCCCTGGTGGACCAGATGTTGCTTTGGATTGTACGGCGGGTGAGTACGCCAAAGGATGGGCACATTATTTCGAGATGCTCTTGGGAATGGAGACAGACACTTCAGAGATGTTGAACGAGATGATCACGGCTGTCCGGCCCTTTGGCCGCGTGGGAGTCACGGGTGTCTACGCTGGCTATGTACGTGACAACCACCCTTACCTATGGCCTCCTTTTCTTCTCTTCTAGCAGGGCTAACGACTACTAGACGAACCACTTCAACATCGGCGCATTGATGCAGACAGGTGTCCGGCTCATTGGGAATGGCCAGGCTCCAGTGCAGAAGTATTGGAAGTATCTCCTCGAACAGATCCAGAAGGGAGAGATCAACCCATTGGACATTGTGTCCCATCGCGTCCGCCTGGAGGATATGGACAAATTATACGAATTATTTGACCATCGTGAGGGAGGCATTCAAAAGGTCTTTGTCCAAACCAAGTACTCAGCTCATCCGTCAACGGGATCGCCAGCTCTGGTCGATCTGTAAATGCTACTTATATTGTCTATGCTTTGTTTCATTTATTAATTTTTCATCCGACTTGTGCGTTACCTATCGAATAATGCAAACCACAGATCTAAATGCCAGGCGCATTATGTTCCAGCAAAAGGGGGTGCGGAGGAAGTACTCAGTGGGACTCAAAAAGGACAAAAAGAAGGAATGCGAAAAGGCAACCCGGAGAACAAGGAAGGAGCGAGGATCGGTGGATGGAGGGAGAGTCTTATCGGTTACAACGGTTGCTTCAGCGAATAGCAGGCATCCCTATCGACCACGTACTTTTGAACCACAGGCTACCAACCTCATGTAACATATGTCACATCCATATTATCAACTATGAATTCAAATAATTGAATTATAGGGAAGTTAACATGCGAGTCCCTGCATGAAAAAAAAAAAGTCGGTCTGCCGCGTTCAACGACAGCCATCTAGAATCGGGCCGTATTCGCCTCCAAGGGATTCCGTTCATCGGCATTTGAAACACTTACAATAAGAGACTTCAACCATGAGTCCTCCAATTGCTGGTAATAACGCAGGCAAGTAACCAGGAAGAGTTTTCACCATACCCATCCCACTAGACTGAACCCGGCTAAGAAGGCGGATTTCCTTGACTGATCGTCGACAGGTTTTGGTTCGTGCATTACGACACGCATGGTTCGGATTTCCCGAAAGGGGATAGCGTAATCTGATAAGATCAGACGACGGAGGGAGCAGTGGTACCGAAGAATGCCAGCCATCATGAACCAAAACCCAGGTGCAGACGGGTTGGGGGTGGGATGGGTCTTGTCTGGTCCGGTCTGGTCAAAAAGGGAGAAGAATTCCTGAAGGGTCTCCGTGACTGGAAAACCGTTCAACCGGGAGGAGGTAATTGGCTCCATTTCCTGTTCTCATTGCTAATCATGAGCCCCGTTTGATTTCATTTTTCATTTCGTTTGTCAGGGAGTACCTGGGCCATTGGGGACTCGACGCCGAATGTCAATGTTTCTATGTGTCAGCCTTGCTTCGTCATAATTGAGGCAAATATTAATTGCATCCGCTTTTGCCATGTGCTTGTCGGATTTTCTCTCTGCTGGAGACGACGGTCTTGCCAAGGAATCCGCGCTCATCGCGGGTGGGAACAACCACCAAACAGAGGTTGGACGGGAAGAAGGCCTGTACCCACATGTGCGGCCTTGGGAGGGTGAGAGAATTTCGAGTCCCGTGGGATGGGGAGTGTAGAGTGTCATGATTGACTCACGACTACTATCTCAAAACTCTTCGGAGACTCGGCCATGCCGATGTGTAGACGATGTAGTTCAAAGTATTGTCGGTAGGCAGCAGAGCAGACTTCGCGGTTTATATAAGGCTGAAGGTCAAGCCCTGCTTAGAATCAACTAATGGCCAACGACGCAATCCCGGCGTACAAGATTACTCCTGGGGGGAGAGAATAGGTGGATAACGTATACCCTAACCCCAAGCAAGTCCGAGCTGGGTGATTGATAACCATCGGGCTGGCGCGGGACTGGCGAATAATAGACGGGGGCGAGGAACGTCCCACCGTAACTCCGAAGTCGGTGAGCGCGCACGATAATCTAATCTGATCCGATCGCCTTTTTCCCGGCCTTCTTTCCCCCTCTTCTTCCCTCGGTCGCCCTCTTGTTTTCATTTTGCCTTACCTTCGTCCATTCCTCTTCCCGACCTTGTTCATTCCCTGCCCATCCTTCTGTCTGCTTCGTGGCATAGATTGATAAAACACATTGCTGCTGCACGCCCAATCTCCTCCGGTGTGCTCTGCACCACACCTCGTCTCGCTTACCGGCTGAAGGGGCGCACTTCCGCTCTTCCGGCCGCCGAAGCGATCAAGTGACACCACCACTTCTTCCTTCCCACCTGTTGGTCCGTTTTCTTCCCCCCCAAACACCTCCCGCAACCCGCTCCTCGCGGTGAAAAAGTTATGACTGCTGACCACGATCCAGGCCACCTCTTACAATAAAAAGAGGTCCCCTGAAAATCATGGCCACTCCAGCAGCTCCCTCACTCGCCCCTGCGCCCGGTCCAGCTCCGTTGGCACCCGCATTGGCCGCCAAGCCAGCCATCTCACCGTCTCCCGGTCCGGGCACACCCGGTTCCGTCACCTCCAAGGAATGGGTGATTCCCCCTCGTCCCAAGCCCGGCCGCAAGCCCGCCACAGACACGCCCCCTACCAAACGCAAAGCGCAGAATCGAGCTGCCCAGAGAGCTTTCCGCGAGCGTAGAGCAGCCCGCGTCAACGAACTCGAGGACCAGATCAAGAAGATTGAAGACGACCATGAGATCCATGTGTTGCAACTCAAGGAGCAGATTTCGAACCTTTCCCATGAGGTCGAACAATGTCGGAGCGAAATGGCCTGGTGGCGTGACCGTTGCCACGCTTTGGAAAAAGAGGTCTCCGTCGAGCGCAGCGCTAAAGAAAGCCTCGTGAAGGAGTTCCGCTCCTCGTTGTCCGACAAGAATGCCTCTCGCTCCGACAAGGCACCCTTGACACGCATACCCAGAGACTCATCTGCAGCTCATGCGGCAGTTGAGAACAACATGCACGAGGAGCGGGAGGAGGTGCCCCTGGGCTGTAGTAACTGCTCGAACGTGCACTGTCAGTGCATTGAAGACGCCTTTAGTGGCATGCCCGGCATCGAACGGACTTCAGCCCAGTCAAAGCGTCCTGATAACTCGAGCCAGTCTCATGCCGAACCTGAAATCAAGCCCGAGCCAGAGGAGATGGAGATCGATTTCACAACGCGATTCGCGGCCCCTCATCACGTCCAGGACGACACTGTCACTAACGTTTCCTCCCCCGCCGTCGATCCTTGTGGTTTCTGCCAGGATGGCACGCCATGCATTTGTGCTGAAATGGCTGCCCAGGAAGAGGAGCGCCGGCGGCGCAACTCGTTCGAGAACAACCGCCTGGCACCCATCCAGAACCTGTCGCAGTTCACGCCGCCCCCTTCCGACGGCGATGTGCGGTCCGAGGTGACCCTCCCCCCCATTAGCCAAGCGACAAATCCCTGCGCCAATGGCCCGGGTACTTGTGCCCAATGTCTCGCCGATCCCAGGCGGACCCTTTTTTGCAAGACGCTGGCGGCCTCCCGCCCCGCCAGCGCTGCTCCCTCCGGATGTTGCGGCGGTAAAGGCGCTGATGGTGGATGCTGCATGTCACGCAACTCCAACCCTCAACGCAGCGGGTCGACTCAACAACAATCACAGACTTCCAGCTCGCGCCGCTCGGCGACTCCATCCCTGACTCTCTCCTGTGCCGACGCCTTCACTACCCTCTCCCGCCACCCGAACTTCTCTCGAGCTAGCGATGATATCTCTTCCTGGCTTCCCAAACTTCACACTCTGCCTAATCCTAGTCAGAGCCAAAAGGAGGTTATGCAACCAGGCTCCCGAGCCGCATTGGAAGTCGAAGCCGCCAGTGTCATGGGTGTGCTACGCTACTTTGATCGGAGATTCGCCGACAAGTGATCTTCCTCTGCATTCTGTTACTCTACCTTTTTCTTCTTTCCACCTTTTTCTTTTCGGCACCTTGTTGATTCTGCTTTTATTTCTCATGATACCCAACCCTGACTCATGGCATGTCTGAGTTTGTATTATATATACACACCTCACTCACATCCCCTACCCTCATCTCGTGGACGAGAGAGACACCCCCTCCTCTGCCATAATACCCGCACTCTTCCCATCTACTACCTCCTCCCCTAACATCCGCCCAGGGATTTATGAACCCTTCCCTTACGACCCACCCCACACAAAAAAAGAAGTGACCATGAAGGAGGGGAACTGGAACCTCAACAACCCAAAAATTCACTCATATGAAAATCATTAAAAAGAGCTAAAATAATAACGACCGGACTGCCAGGAATGTCTGTCTAGAGAACGGGACGAATTGAAGTTCGTTCCATATGATTACATTTAGACCGGGTGAAATGAAATAAATGATATGGCGTTTTTCTTACTTCTATTTATCTCTTTCCACATACATCATTTCGTGGTTCTAAAGTCTTTTTTGGATTTTGGTGTATAAGCTGGGTTTTGGTTGAGTAAAGTAATGGATGGGCTATTTCGGGTTAATTCACTACTACGACTTATTATCTTCAGTTGTGCTAATTGTTCCGGATGTGGAAAATAGTAGTGTAGATAATGGGGAGTGAAAAAAAAAGGTAGTATCCATTCATATGATCTACAGGGCAATATATAAACGACAGGCTCCAACGCCGATTCCATTCCGCTTGCTCCGTAGATATGACAACTGCAAGTAAAAACGATAAAATAAAATACATCCCATGGCAGCGTCAGTTGGTATTGGTATTAAACAAGGAAAGGAACAACGAATGAAAGGAGAGGGTAAGGCTCAAAGGAGAGGAGATCTGGGTGGAGGGGGGAGATGGCCCGGTGCCGCTTCTCTAGAAGCGACCTCCGCTGCCCATCGACTCGTCCTCGCCGGTTACACTGAAGCTGCCCATAAGACTGGCGCCCCAAATCCCGGCAATCCCCCACATGCCAATGCGCCAGCCCCGGTATAATCCCTTGATGCCCTGGCCCTGGCGTTTCCGCTGCACAACGGGCTTCTTCATTAGCTGGCGCGCACGATCAGTCTCCGGCGCGGGTGCCACTCCCTCTTCGTAGACGATGCTCCACATCGTGCCGATGATGCCGCGGTAGGTTTGGGGTGTAGGCACGATGGTCTCAACCTCAGTCGTCGTAGGCTCCGCAGTGGTGGGGGATGAGACTGAGCGGATGGAACCGCGGGACTGCTGCCGAAGGCTGGGGGAGGTGAACGTTGCGATTTGCGCGCGACGGAGGACGGTTTCAAGAGGGAACCGGACTGCGAGCTCCAGGCCCGAGCCCAGGAAGGTGAAAAGACCCCATGCCGACGGGTTGAGCACGGGATCAATGGAGAGGTATGACTTCAAGACCAGGGGAGTGGTATTGATAATGAAGTTGGGGAGACTGGAGTGAAGAATGGTGATCGGGATCAAGTGAGGGGGAATGGTGCAGTTGGGTGTCGGGATCTGGCGAAGGGCCCGCAGAAGCGAGCGGGGACCGTGAGTGGCCGGTGTGAGGATGAGGAATGTGCGTGCAGTGTCAATGGGAGAGAGGAGCATCGCCGACAGCGACGAAGAGATGAAGGACAGGATCAACGTCGCGACCGGGGCGGTTGACGTGAGAATGTCTGCGGTCAAGGAAGAAGTAACATCTTCCTCTGGCAAGCCCACAATGGCGGAAAGCAGACTGCGGATGAAGGTATTCAAGGTGGGAAGCAGCAGGGAATAGATGAAGGTCGCGTTGGTCGCTTTCCAGGGCGACGATGGCCCGCTGGTTGTCCAGAGCTGGCCCAGCACCTCCATCAAGGAGGAGGGGTTCTTGATGGCCAATGCATATCGAGACGAGGAGCTCTGGGGCGGGATATAGCCGCTCCGGTCGGTGATATGGCGTCGAGGCTTCCGGGATCGGGGAGTGGACGGTGTTGGCACTGCGGGAGCTGCCGATGTGAAGTAGCTGCTCTCATCGTCGGAGGAGAGGGATTCCTGAGAAGCACAAAAGGCATATTGTTAGCTATCCACTTCCCCTCATTGCAATTGTTCTTGTCGTATACACACATCTTCATCGTACGAGTCAACCTGACTGTCCAGCCCGGAGCTCCGGCGATCATGCATCGCCCATTGTCCCTCCGCAGAATCATCGGGGGCCACATAGGTCTGTAGAATGGTTTTGGCGACATCGAAGGGCTGAGCGGTTAGCACACCAAGGTAGCGCCGGAGTGCTTCGTCCAAGGCATCGCGAATCCAGCTGGACAGCGAGGGGGAGTTGTCGAGGTAATCGGAGTAGTCCAAGTCGGGCAGAAGATCGCGCGCCGAACCACCAAACACTTGAGTTGACGATGACGCATCGGGAGGGGAGGAGACGTTGGAGGCGTCCAGACCGATGGGGGGAGGGATGTAGTAAGGACGGAGGGGATTTGGCCCATCCAGCGGGGCAGCCATGATAGATATAGAAGATTAAGAGAGGGAGAAGAAGGGGGAAATTAGTTAGTTTGTTCGGGGATAAGGATGACGGTCAAGAGGAGGGGGGAAAAGAAAGAAGGAGCAGCAGCAGATTGAAGCTTGCAATTCGGAGAAGAAGGCGAAAAAAGCAAAGCCGACGAATGAAGAAGCCCGAATTTCCCGCCGCTGTTCGGCCTCGCCTTTTTTTCGTGCCCCAGGATTCGCTCTGTTGCTCTCTCTCTTCCTCTCCACTTCTGCTGGTCGGCTTCTCCTCTCCTCTCCTCCCCTCTCCTCTCCCCTCGCATTGCGTTCTCTAAAAGTATCTCTTATTATTCCTCTAATTTCCCTTCCTCCTCTCGGTCTTTACCCAGCATCCCTCCGCCATGTCGTTCTGGAAAGAAGCGTGCTTGAACCTGCGTCATGCCGTCCCCAAGTCCGGGAACAGCATCGGTCGCGCCCAATCCAAGAGATTCCTCACTTCTTCTTACTCGACTCAGACGCCGCGAGTGATTGCCTCAAGTCGACTCCCCATCAATGCCCGGAGGGACTTCCTGAACCAACAGTCATGGATGGCTCGTCGCAGCTTTTCCGTCACGGCCTGTGCTCAGCACGGCCATATCACGCCGCCAAAGCCCGGGGAGGAGTGAGTCATTGCGGACGCTGGCTTCGTATACTACCCATGCTGATTTTTGATGCGCAGGATCAACGTGACTTTCATCGACAAGGACGGCGTGAAGATTGAACTGCAGGTCTCCGAGGGTGACAACCTGCTAGACATCGCACAGGCAAATGACATCGAGATGGAAGGTGCGTAATGCCAGTTATCGGGAGATACGCGGAATGCTAGGGCTACCGTGACTAACGGACGCTGGAATACTTTAGGTGCCTGTGGTGGTTCTTGCGCCTGCTCGACTTGCCATGTGATCGTCGAGGACCCGGACATGTTCGACAAGATGGAAGAGCCGTCGGACGACGAGAACGACATGCTGGATCTGGCGTTCGGTCTGACAGAGACCTCCCGGTTGGGTTGTCAAGTGGCCATGAGCAAGGACCTCGATGGCCTCGTGGTCCGGCTGCCGTCGATGACTCGGAACTTGCAGGCAAGCGACTTCGAGCCCAAGAAATGAGAGAGCTTTGTACGAGTATATACGAGAGGCGCCCGGGGGTGGGTAAAGGACTGTATGATTATCCAAGCGCATACACTGGGGAGGGGTTCCAGGTCTATCTATGGTTATTGTGGGCTCATTGGTTTGCAAACGAACGTGTCTCTATTGGGTATACCGATCTCCATTCACATTTTGGCATGAAAGTACCTGTAAATAGCATATCACTTTTAATCCAAACACTTGAGATAAAAACGAAACAGAACAACAGTAGAGCAACCCCTCAAACGCCCAAGGTATGCCAGGTCTTGAACAGCGAACAGAAACTTCTCGTAATTTATCCTTAAGCCTCCTCAATCTTCAACGCCTTGCCCTTCTTCCCGCTAATCAAGTCCAAGAATCCCTGCTTGCTGACTTCGTTCACGGCCCTCTCGCGCTCGTCAATACCAACGGTACCCTTCTTGCGCTCTGCCTTGGCTGCTTCCTCTCCGCGCACCTGGGCGGCGCGGACGGCATTGAACAGCTTCACCACACCACGCTGGGCAATCTTGCGCAGACGCTTCTCCTCCTCCGCAACCGCACCCGCCTGACCACGCTGAAGACCCATGACATCGCGAATACGACCACGGTCCAGCTCTTCCTTCTTCTCCGCACGAAGCTTGGCCCGTGCTTGCCGATCCAGCTTCTCCTCTGCAACGTCGGTGCTCTTCTGGGCAGCGGCTTTGCTGCGCGCCAGCACGGGATCGTCTCGAACGGATGTGGGGAGTTTGGTGGACAGAATTTTTGCGATAGAGGTAGAGAAGGCCGAGGGATCATTGCGCTTAGAGACAGCTCTGCGACCCGTTGTCGCAGGTGCAGAAGTATCGGAGTCGGCACCTTCTTCATCGTCGGATCCTTCAGAGTCGATTTCAGACTCAACATCACCATCCTCCTCGTCGTCCTCGTCATCGTCGGCTACCTCCTCGTCGGAGCTTTCGTCTTTCTCCTCCGCTTTTCTCTTCGTAGAGGCGCCGATCGCCTTGGTCTGCTTCTTGGGCTTCTTCACTTGGACTTCATCTTCAGCGTCAGAGTCTGCCAAGCTGACAGCCTTGAAATCGGTAGGTTCATCGGCTTCGGACTCTTCTTCGGAGCTGCTGTGGTATTCGCGCTGCTTTCTGAACTTCTTCTTAGGGCCGGCCTGCAACGACTCGAGAACCTTGCGCTTTTTCATGTGGGGAGGCATTGTGACAGTAGATGTTGACAACCTCAGAATTGACTAAAAGAAATCTAACTTTGATCCGAATGTGTGAGAAGATATGGAGTGGAAAATGCAATGAACTTTGCATTGAATCCCGAACTTTTTTTCCCAGCAATTTTTGGGTCCCTCGCGGGCGGCCAGCAACGCGTGGCTGTGATTGGTCGCGGGGCTCTCCGCATCGCTTCGCCCGCGCAGTTGGCCTCTCAGTCCATCGATTCATCCATCTCGCTGCATCCTCCATTCGTTCTCTCCTGTCCTCTCTGCCACCTTTCACGATTTCTGGCAGCAAGTGACGCATATTTTAATCTGTACATGCTTTAATTTGATTTACCTCCTTTCGACAAGAACTCCCCCGCCATGGTCCTTCAGGATCTCGGGCGGCGAATCAACGCCGCCGTCAATGACCTGACTCGCTCTAACAATTTGGACGAGAAGGTGAGGATCAGCACTTTTCTCTCTGTCTGATGTATGTACTGACTGTTAGCAGGCCTTTGATGACATGATCAAAGAGATCTGCGCCGCCTTGCTGTCCGCCGACGTCAACGTCCGCCTGGTCCAGTCCCTCCGCAAATCCATCAAGTCCAGCGTCAACTTTGCCTCTCTTCCTCCCGCCGTGAACAAGAAGCGTTTGATTCAGAAGGCCGTCTTCGATGAGCTGGTTTCCCTGGTTGATCCCCATGCGGAGCCATTCCGTCCCAAGAAGGGCCGCTCCAACGTGATCATGTTCGTCGGTCTACAGGGTGCCGGTAAAACCACCACCTGTACCAAGCTGGCCCGCCACTATCAGATGCGCGGCTTCAAGACCGCCCTCGTCTGTGCCGATACCTTCCGAGCTGGTGCTTTCGACCAGCTGAAACAGAATGCCACCAAGGCCAAGATCCCCTACTACGGTAGCCTGACGCAAACCGACCCCGCCATCGTGGCAGCCGAGGGTGTGGCCAAGTTCAAGAAGGAGCGTTTCGAAATCATCATTGTCGATACCAGTGGTCGTCATAAGCAGGAAGAAGAGCTCTTCACCGAAATGACCCAGATTCAGACCGCCGTCACCCCCGACCAGACCATCCTCGTCCTCGACAGCACCATCGGTCAGGCTGCCGAAGCCCAGTCCTCCGCCTTCAAGGCCACCGCAGACTTCGGAGCCATCATCATCACCAAGACGGATGGTCACGCCGCAGGTGGTGGTGCTATTTCCGCCGTCGCCGCCACACACACTCCCATTATCTACCTCGGTACCGGTGAGCACTTGATGGACCTGGAACGTTTCGAGCCCAAGGCCTTCATCCAGAAGCTCCTGGGTATGGGTGATATGGCCGGACTGGTAGAGCACGTACAAGCCGTGACCAAGGACTCGGCCTCCGCCAAGGAAACATACAAGCACATCTCAGAAGGTATCTACACGCTGCGCGACTTCCGCGAGAACATCACCTCCATCATGAAGATGGGTCCTCTCTCCAAGCTCTCCGGCATGATTCCCGGTCTCTCCAACCTGACCGCGGGACTTGATGACGAAGACGGCTCCATGAAGCTCCGCCGCATGATCTACATTTTCGACAGCATGACGGCCGCCGAACTCGACGGCGACGGCAAGATGTTCGTCGAACAGCCTAGCCGCATGGTCCGGATCGCTTGCGGAAGCGGTACCACCGTCCGCGAAGTCGAAGACCTGCTCTCCCAGCACCGCATGATGGCTGGTATGGCCAAGCGCGTCGGCGGACAGAAGAAGCAGATGCAGCGTGCCCAGAACATGCTCAAGGGCGGTAACAAGGAACAGCAGCTCGCCGCCATGCAGAAGCGCATGGCCGCCATGGGTGGTGCTGGCGGTGGTGGATTCCCCGGTATGCCCGGCATGGGCGACATGGCCAAGATGATGCAAATGCTGCAAGGTCAAGGAGGTGGCGGCGGTGGTGGTCTTCCCGGCCTGGGTGGGATGGACCTACAAAGTATGATGAGCCAGATGAGTGGATTGATGGGCGGTGGCGGTGGTGGTGGTGGCCGCGGTAGAGGACGGTGATTGTGATGATGACGATGATGCACGCATTCTGAAATTCCTTCTTGACTTTTGATTTCGCGTTGTTACCATTCCATGATTATATTCTACACCTGTGCTCCGTCTCTTTTTTACGTTTGATTCTTAAGAGACTGGGATATATGGCCTTGCTTCAGTTCAGTCATCATTCACCTCATTCGTCGATTGTAACTAGCATATGATGGTGTTGGGCGTGACTTGATTTTACTTGTGCTTACCTCTTTGCTAATATCCGACTGGCCCTCTGGGGCATCAAATCTATGCTATCAAAGCTCATTTCCCATTCTTTCCAGGTGATATAATAAGTATTAGACTGGGAAAATATATCTACAGTATCTAGGTTGATTGTGGTTGCAGATACCAGTAGTTACTACTAATACCTTGATTACCCATCTAAAGGTAGTGCTCACAGCCGTGTCTGCTTCCTTAGGAGTTGTTTCAACCCATTAAACTCCTGTAATCTACACATATATGCATGTAGAAAGTATATGTCATAGAAAGTTGACTGTTCGAATTAAATTATCTTGAGAACGACAATGCAACTATTACTAAAAAAGAGACGCAAGGAATATTAAAAGTAAGATCAACTGATCCAACACCAAGACTGATACCGATACCAATCAGGATCAATCCACCCTCTCCACCCGTCTAACTCTATCCAATAATTCATAGGCCTGCCCCAATACATACGAACGCACTCGACCTACCGTTTCCTCAACGCGGCCAATCACCGTCTTGATAGATGCATCCCACGTAACTTGCTCGCGATCATCCAGGAGGAGCTTACCCGGTGGGAAGCGAGGGTGTTTCCAAGTCGACGCGGAGGCGACCGCAGCCTCGTGGCCAGGTAGAGGAACAGCAAGGGAATATTTCCAGATTAAATCGGTGTTGACGTACAGGGAGTAAGTGAAGACGGAGCTGGGGACGGAGATGGTCTTCCCAGTGGGAGTGGTAATGAGCTCATCTTGGACGTCAATGTCGATGAGGCCGTACTTGGTGTTCCCATCGGGGATGTATTTGATGGCAACGTCTTCGTTGTCGTCTTGGCGGTAAGTCCGGATGGGGAGGTAGAACATGTTGAGGGGGCCGACGCAGAACTCATGCAGTCCCTCGCCTGCTGTGTTTGGGAGGAGCTCTTCGTGGGTGAGGCCGAGTTCGGGATCTGGGAAACGGGTGGCTCCGAATTCATGACGGTCCCCGCTGAGGAGGACAATGCGGACGCCTAGCTCACGCTCTGCGCGCCACATGGCTTCGAAGACAGTGCGACGTTCGTTGAGGAAGCCACCCCATGTGTCGGTGGTGCCGACATGCCAGTTCTTGGTGAAGGGAACGCTGGAGGCTACGATCTTCCAGCGGACTTCGGCCGGTTCAGGACGGGAGAGGAAGGCAAGGAGAGACTGGAGCTGTGCGGAGCCAAGGATGGTGGAGTTGGGCTGGGCGGGCTCGGAGCGGTAGGTGCGCGTGTCCACCATGAAGAATGAAGCCGGGCCATTGATGAACGAGAAGTAGGTGGTGTTTTCGGGCTTAGCAAAGGGTGTTGGCGGAATGGGAGGGTTCGCGCTGACGTGGTAATGGATGTAGGGCTCTGCGGCGGCGGGATATGGCGCGGTTGTGTTTCCTTTGGACCAGTCATTCTCGATCTCGTGGTCATCGAGTGTATGAATCCAAGGGAGACCATCTTGGGCTTTGTTCCATGATGGGGATGAATAGACCCGGCGATACTCGCTGCGGTAGTGAGAGATGGAGGAACCAAAGCGCTGAGGCACATCAACGTAAATGAAATCCCCCAGGAACAACATGAACGCTGGTCGGAGCAGAGACGGCAGCCGGTTGACCGTCTCTGTCATCATCTCAAGTCCCGGGATACGTAGTGGATGTGATAGGGGGTTGTAGGGGAAATTCGCCTTCATGCAGCTCGATGTGAGGAAGCTCAGACGGTTGGCTGATTTTGAGCCCGGCATTGGCGCGGTGACGAAAGAGCCCGTCAGATTGTTGGATAGAGAATAGCGGTACGCGGATGATGGCTCCAAGTTCTTGATAGTTACGGTGGTTGTAAAGTCCGTCGCATCCGTCAGTGAGTAAATCACGCCTTCTTCTGTCCATCGTGAGGGGTCCTCCTCCGTTGGCTGATAGTATACGATCAAAGGTAGCTGAGCCGGGTCCGGTTCACGGACCAGCAAATTCGCGGTAGTCGGAGAGACGTAACCGATACGAGAGAAAGCAAGATCATTGCTGGGATAGAGAATGAAGCCTCGTCCCACGAAGTCTAGGGTGAGGAGAGCGAGGACAATGTTGATCAGGACGGTCAAACGCGTGGACAACGGTAGTCGGGGGGACGGCAGCCCAGTCAGCAGAACCTTGAGGACGCCTTCGGTTGGCGGCGGGGATCCTATAGCAAGTTACTCTGTGTGCCTTTGACGGTTGTAGAGTCTGCTCATGTCGACCCTACTTACTGGAAGCATGTTGAGCATCGATATTGCCCTTGCGCCGATCGGCATTGCTCTGGTCGGCCGGCCGGCCAAGCGACACCAATGAAGCTAGGTACACAGCCAACAATGTGACTATGAGGGGTGGGAAGTGATGGCCGGGAATCTATACAGTCCCAATTAGCTACCATGATCTTATAGGCCATGAGGAACGGTCAACGCACCCAGCGGAGAAAGAAGAAGGCCGTCACTCGGAGGGCCGCGGAGCTCGTAGCAGCAGCTACGCGGGGAACAGACACCATGGCGTCGAGAAGCTGTCGACACGATCTACGCGGATGAATGGGAATCGACCATCACTAGCTCACGCAGCTCTTCCAGAGAGGCAGATGAGAAAGAGAAGGAGAGAGGTAGTTAAGGGAGGAGAAGAGAAGAAGCAATTCACACGTTAGTCGAGTAGATCAACTGATTAATCCGAAAAGGCGGAACGGATGAGGCGCCGCAGCAATGACGACATCTTCGCCAACCCAAAACAACATTAACCACCACCAAGTCATGCATAAGTCAGTTGTTATTCTCAATTCTCTATACTAGCTATATATGCAAGATGCGTAAGTTTGCAAGTTATGTATTTATCGCTGCTGCATCATGTCCCGAAGTAAATTCATCAAGCTGTTGGCCATTGGTCCCGAGCGCATCATGCGCGCAACGTGTAGCACCTCCTTCATATGCATGCTCAAGCTCATCGCCGCCGCCCACTGCCAGGGCGCATCTCGGTCTCCCGGTTTCGAGTTGAAGTACTCCCAACCCATCACGCCTCCGAAGTTGGGGAAGCGTTCAACCAGCAGACCTAGAATCGGCCCGATCTTCTCCAGTGGTACATAGCCCTGCGATCCATTCCCGGGATTCGTCAACAGGCCGTACACCACCCGGTTCGGGGCCCAGCCCTGTGCAACCATGGCAGCATACATCCGAGGGTCCTCTGGGTTGCCCCAACCATTATAAAACTGTGTGTTGTACCAGCTAATCTTCGAGGCTCGCTGTCGCTCTAGCTCGCGATAGTCGAAGCCGGACAGATTGCCCATGCCCAACATGGCCGCCGCCACTGGAGCCAACGTAATGATGAAGTCGTCGCCCATGTCGAGCTTGAGCCGGTCGATCAGCCGGATAATGCCCGACAACGACATCTCCTCCTCCACGTCCAGATCCAGCCCGTCCAGTTGGTGGCGCCGCACCATGTCCCGCAAGGGTTGGTAGTATAGTTCAAATTTCTCCTCATTACCATCCAGGCAGCGGAACGAGCCCTGCGCCGCGCCTCCCAGGAGTCCCATGACACGAAACCCGCTTTGCTTCACGGCGGGCACTTCGGCCCACAGCGGTTCATACAGCGGCATATGAGGGGGGTCATTGTTAAGAGTGATGTGCTGTGGATCGGCATTGAGGTGAAAAGCGGCCAGGATGATGTGCGTGACGCCGGTGTTGTTGTCCAGCAGCGGCAGCATGGAGCAGTACTGGCCATCAGGACAGATCGTTTGGTGATAGAGGATCACCCGAGGGCGCTCGGGTTGCGGGGACACGGGGGGCATCTTCCAGGTTGGCCGTCAAAAGGATAGTCGAATCACTTGCTGGTATGGAAGGAGAGCAGGATGGTGTAGGATGCGCGCAATGGCGCTCTCTGACGGTTTCAGCGGGGAATGGGAGCCATGCGTAATCCGTCAATGAATGGCCCACTGATTAGCCGTTCAGTTCTCGCCTATCAGTTTAAATGGATGTGAAACCCGACCTGCAGCCAAATAGGGAAGAGATCAAATGGCTGCATAACAACCCCTCATGGTAAGCATATGCAGTGATACCAGACTGAAGAGGTCTGACTTCAATCATGCGTTCTGTTGGAGACTCTTTCTGTGTCACTTTCTTCTATGTGATTATGTCAGCATCACGGGCTTTGGTTGGCGATCAACACCGAATCGAATCACCAACTGATCACTTTGAGCTTTTGATACACTTGCATAACGAAACAAGAATCATATATGCTAGGCTCTTTGACACCGTCTGCCGGGTTGGTACTACACTCTGGGCGAAAGGCATGGACAAGCTTGAGGTTTACTTCTGTGTAAACCGTAGATTGAAGCCATTCAGGAAGCTCCGCGACTCAACTCATCAACTCTACGACGCCGAGCATACTCCCCTAGCAATGTATCTCAGCATTTACTTCACTAGAACTCATCTCTTTCAATCCCTTCTATATTTTCTTGAGACTGAGGCCAATACCAGTCTCCTTCATCTCTATCTAGTTGCTAGTAAATATAGCTTGGTGGATCCCAATGCGGAGCTGCCGAGATCGCGCTAGTCCTTATTGGGCATTCGTGGCTCTTTCTGCCTGAGGATGCAGGCCAGCAAAGACGGGCCAATTGCGGTGCCTGCCTGCCTGGGGCTGCCATGTTACGGGATCCTCCATCCATCTTCCACACTTTCTTCCATTCAGACAGAGCAATTAACTAGTTAAGTGACGCGCATTTTCCCTCTGAATTGCCTATCCTTATCGGCTCATTTATCCACCCCCTAATCTCCGAAGAATCGATGATGTGCCTGATTGGGACGTGAAGTTGTGACCGATCTTATCGCATATGTTATCCTGATCAATAAACAATCCCAATCGTTTCCGCCATCATGGACACGACTTCCCATGATACCGTCGGCGCGTCCACGCTGGCCACCCCCCTCTTCATGCCTTCGTCACCGCCATCTCATCCTGATCAAGGAGAGAGCTATTCTCCGGTCAGCACCAGAAGCTTCCGCTATAGTTCGCGCGGCGCGACCGGCGCAGACCTCGACGACGCGCGTTCGCCGCAACGCCGCTCCCCCAAATCCTCCAGAGCGTCCTCGCTCGAGCGCGCCGCGAACGAGATCGATGCCCGTCTGGCGCAGTACACAGTCGACTTCAGTCAGTTTCCGAGTAACCACGCGCTGGATGAGGGGCCCCTGGAGGATCTGAGACTGCCACATGAGGACAACTTGTCCGATGTTGGTGGACCAGATGACTTTACTGCCAATTTGGAGAAGTACCTCATGGGGGAGGATGATACCATGGATCATAAGCATTTTAGTATAGACAACATGGAGCGCGACTTGTTCGAGCCAGAGCCCCATTCCGATGCCGAGCACGAGTCAGAACCCGAGCCGGAACTGCAGGACGAGCTTCCCCAGCCTCAATCCCAGCCACAGATTCAAAGACAAGAAGTGAAACAACCACAGCAGCAGGAAGATTCCCAGAACAACTCTCAAATGCACCAACCAGCTGTTGAGGATGAGCCGGAGCTCGGCGAATACAGTGAATTTGGACCGCCTGTCGACATGTCTACCCCGTCGCATCTGCTGCGTCGGGCCGGCGGACTCGGGAAAGATATAACCCATCTTGAGAATATTGAAGAAGACCCGGATGACGAGATAGAAGCGACTACGACTACACCCTCCGTTCGTAAGCACAAGCGCACATCTAGTAAGAACGAGAAGGACGTGACCGAGGATCTGCGCCGGCAGATTGCGGAGCTCAAGGATGCGCTGCGCGAACGCGATGAACAACTTGAAAGGAACCACAGGCGTGTCTTGGAGGCGGCTTCTGCGGGAGAGCAAATCAAGCACCTACAAGGGGAGCTGCAGAGAAAGTCGGAGCTGCTCGAGGAACTTTACGCTAAACGCAGTGACGAGACACTCCTGCGTGAGCAAATCCAGCTGCTACAGAAACAAAATCAGGAGAAAGAGTCCTTCCTCCAGAAGTCTACCATGAACGCGTCCGAGCTGGGTACTCTTCAAAAGCAGATGAGCGACATGCAGAAGGAGCTGCAGAATCGAGGCTCACACTCCGATATTGACACAGAGCGACTAGAAACAATCGCCTATCTGCGTCAGCAAGTGGACTTGGCTCAGGAGCAATTGCGAAAGCGCGATGCGACCTTGGACGAGACAATGGCCAAGCTGAAGGAGGTCACGACCGCCAAGGAGCAGCAACTTCGGGAGAAGAATAGCGAAATCGATGGCCTCAAAGCCCAGGTCAGTGACCATCTGCTAGAGGTCGAGAAGCTGGAGGGGGAGCTTGACCGTGCCAACCAGGCATACGAGACTCTCGAGGAAAGAATCGCCTCTCTGGAAACCAAGAACCGCCCATTAGAAGAGAAGAACAGCACGCTGGAAGCCGACTTGACCCGCGCGCAATCGCAAGTCACTGCGCAAGAAAATGCCCTCAAGGCCATGGCAGCGGATCTCCCGCTCGAGACGGGCAACACCTACACTGAGATCCTCGAATTGATCAAAGACCTCGGCCAGCCCAGCATCCGACGCACGCCAGACCCCTTCGCCAAGGACAAAGTCCCTCAGGACCAAGATACATCCCAAGACTTCGAACTCAAACACTTTCATGAAGAATTATTAAAGCTCCAAACCGAACTAGCCGAAGCTACCTCGGCGAAAACAACCCTCGAGCTACAACTGACCCGCTCGCAAGACCAAGCCACAGAAGCACAAACCCTCATCCACTCCATTGAAACCGAAAACACGCGCCTAACCAAACGCGCCGACGAGCTCAAATCCTCCCTCGACAGAGCCCAACAAGAGCTATCCCAAGCCAACGAAGAACGCACGCGTGCTCTGGAAACCATCACTCGTCTCAAGAAGGAACAAGAGGACATCCAAAAGGCCGCCCAACAGCAGCAGCAGCAGCAACAACAACAACAGCAGCAACCCAGCCCACCTCCATCCCCTCCAACAAACACCCACCACCAACACCAATCTACATCCACATCCACAACCCAGATTCAGACTCTTGAGAGCGAACTCACCACCCTCCGCGCCACCAACACCAACCTCCAAACCCTCCTCAACAGCAGCTCCAACCGTGAAACCAAGCTAAAAGCCCACATCCTCACCCTCCGCGACCGGCATCAAACGGAACTCCGCGCGCAGAAAACCAAAATCGAGCACCTTGAATCCATCATCGCCACGAAGGACGAAACCGCCGCTGCAGTCGACGAACGCATCGCGCGGTCCGTCGAGAAGCGCGAAAAGGAGTGGCAGCGGCGCGTGGATCTCCTACTGAAGGAGCGTGAGAGGATGAGTCGTGCTTTGATGTGGTCGTGGGGTGAGAAGGAGATGGGCAGTATCAAGGAGAGGGACAATAAGGAGAATGCAAATGTAGATGAGAAGGGAAGAAAGAGGCAGGCGTATCGGTATAAGTTTGCCAATGGGGTGGATGGGGAGATGAAGTCGAAGTCGCAGTCTCGATCGGGGTCGAAGAGGGCTTGAGCAGTTTGAGGACTATGGTTCTGGTGCTGATCGCCCTTGCGCGTATCCGTTTGTATGTTTGTCTGTCTGTCTGTCTGTTCGTTTGGCCTACCTACTTGAGAATTACGTGGGATTGCGGCATAACTATTTAGGACTGGGGTCTCTTATGGTGCCTCGGGTATATACATTTAACAAATGGTTGGCTGGGGGGCTGGTGTTGTCCTGTGCTGTATAGGGGGTATGGCTCCAGTTCTTGTCCTGTGGCGTTTGGGTTTGTTTTTATGGTTGGTGTCGAGACGTACATTAGACGGTAGTTAATTTGACCCTACTTATCTGTTCAACTAAGCCAAGCTGTGACAACTGAAAAGGGAAGAACTAGCAAACGAATAATAAAATCATAATAGTATTCAATCCAATAGTATATGGCAAGAAAGGTAAACAAAGGAAAAGAAGCGTGCTAGTATACAGTTAATATCAATCATGAGCCAATAAGAACGTGATAATGGAACAGATTCGATCATAGCCAGTCCGACCCGCAGACTTCACTCAAAATGCGTACATGCCGTGGGCACTAGCAGTTCGAGTAGTGCCTCTATACGTGTTTCCATCCGCAAAAATATCTTCCGGTTCATCAACGGAGGCCCCAGACTCGCGGATACAGTCTAGACTGGATGTTGTGTCGAATCCTCCACAGGTGTTGCTGCGAGGGCGCCGGGTGCTAGAGTACACGATTTCGACGTCATTTCGACGCCGCCGTGAGGGCATTCGACGGTGGGTATCAAAGTACGATCGACGAGTGTAGCGGCTTTGCTGGGGATGATATTGGCTTTGTGTGTGCCGCGGTATCTGGCATGCTTCAAAACGGTAGACTTGGCTTCGTCGTCCGCTCGAACGAATCGAGTTTTGGCGTCTGGATCGTCCGTGCTGCAATAGAGAGCCTTGGTAGCTGTGATTTGGCTGTCGTGGCGGGATCGGAGGTACAGCCGGAGGTTTTGGCCGAGAGAAGTTGTACTGGCTAGTAATTGGAGCTGTGTGTGAAGTGTTGGATCTCTGAATTCTAAGTGGCTCTGGCGCGACAACTTCGGGGGCATCAGCGGAGCTGCTTGATATTGATCGTGGAAGCGTGCTTCCTTCGGACCGACTCGACTTAAGCTCAGGGTTACTGTTCGTCATGGCAAACATAGACCTCTCCACTGGAGGAGAGGTTGGGAATGGAAGCTCCACAGGGGAAGATGCGAGCGGGTGTCCAGGGGCATGTTCCCTTTTGGGAGTTGGCGGTGGCTCGATTATCTCTGTTGACTTCTCCTCTGCTGGTTGCTCAACATCCGTACCAGAATCAGGACCAGCGAGAGCAAGGATGTCAGGGTCCGATGACAACGAGATCTGACTTGCGAAAACCGTAGGAAGGAGTCGGAAGAACGGGGATCCAGAGGCCTGGTGCCTTTGATTTTTGATTTGCGGAGATCCCGGTAGTTCTGCCAGTACAGCCGGGCGATAAGAGTCGAAAGGAGCCCTTAACGTGGCTTTGGGGGGTGTAGTTGAGGCATTCGAACTGACATCGGAGTTTGTTCCATCCCTGGAAGAATTTTTGGATGGCGTGCCATCAACCGAGAGCGTAGTTCCAGAGTATATCCCTGAGGTCTCTGCTTCACATTTTGTGTCGAGCTTTAACTGGGGTTTCTCATATACGGATGCAGGGTGTTCAATACTACCAGCTTTACATATGGAGTTGCTGCTTGATGACAGGTACAGGTCGCGCCCAAATGTCACATCAGGCCGGCGGCAAACGTGATAGATGTCATTTTCCAGACTGACGTGGCTTCCCATAGTTGAGCTGGCAGACATTTTGTCATCGTATGACGATAATTGTGGCTTGTATACACCGAGAAGAGATATGTCGTACGGACGCTCGCAAAGTTCTCTTGAGCAGAAGAAAAGACACACGGTCACGCTGTCGCGAGTCAGTAAACATATCGGAAACTTTGGCCAGCAGACCTACAATGATATAATCGAAACAATGACAGAAGCCCTTTGAAGCGCGCAACTAATACCGATCTTCCAGAAGTCACCACCACCGTCATCAGCCAGGCAGTACATCTGCTGCGAAACCAACACCAATCCTGCGGCACTGGCAGCGATCCAAATGAGTATCGTAAGTCGGAGGATGTAGGTACAAGCGGCATTCAGCAAAGCTTTCTGACTCGCGAACCCTACAACCTTGTTGTATTGCCAGGCAAGGAGGCTGTGGAGAGCGACAAGAGGAACAGTGAAGAATGACTAGTATCCGTCAGTGTCTTTACCAGCCGGCCAAGTCAAGGCAGAGGCTTACCGCAACAAGAGCCAGGACCAAGCTCGGGGTCATCTTTGAGTCCACACGGCGGATCCCATACAGGTACAGCACGATGGCCCATTCAATGAACGAGTCGAAGAGCATGACATATAACGAGATGAATATCACTACTTTGGTCCAAACGCCTCCTTTTGGGGAGGCTATTGAACGGTTGAACATGATGGACCGCGTCGAGAGTAGCTGGAACCAGCTGCGCTACGGCTTCTGTTAACAAGACTCGCCAAGCATCCAGTGGTTTGAGAGGTTAGAGATGATAGAAACTGATGTATCGGAAAGAACAGTAGGTGCAGCCCATAAAGAACATGTGGGTGGTGAACGTGACGGGGGAAACAATGGAAGAGAAGCAAAACAATGGGCCAAGGCCGACTAAAAGGATGTATATGCTGGGAGAATGGCCTCGCGCGTGAACGCGGAGGACCGAGGGGTTGGAATGGGCGATTCCGAGGCATGCCCACTAACAGAAAAGGGAATTGGTAGGAATAGGGTCTGTGATGTTTGTTGTCACTGCCTGATATGGGGAGCTGTCCTTGAGGAATGCAGACTAAATTTGCATCCACGGCCATTGGACCTTCGCAATCCCAATAGTTTGCCCCTATTCTCCTGGTAAGTGTTAGTCATCGGAGGTCGTATGCATATCCTCGAGATTCAATTGCAAATTATTTCCAGTTAGGGATTGATAGTTAGCCCTGTATGTGAGAGTAGTAGGCGGGTTTACTCCTTCAGAAAAGCCGCGATTGCATTTCAGCGTCATCATCGCGTGGAAAACGCGGGTTGTCAAAGCTAAAGTGGGCGCACGTAGTGAGACAGAGCGGTCAAGTAGAATGCAGGATGCGATGCAGAATCCAGGGCTGCAGATAAGGCCAGGGATGAGCGAGGAGCCGAGGAGACTCCATCGTCACGATGTTGTTGAAGGCGAGGAAGGGATGGGGGCACGTGATGGGCAGCAGGCTCACAGGGAGTCTACAGAGTCATTCGCTCCAACTTTCTCGCCTTCCCTCCTCTCCTCCTTCTGCCCCTCGAGTCGTCCTACTTATTCCGCCTCATTTGCCCTCTGGTGAGCTTTCTGCAAGGAAAGACCATACTACAAGTTTGTTTATAAAAGCAACCAAGTCATGCCAATAAACAGAAGCATGAAGGGCTAGGAACAGGGACCAATTTCTCTACTCCCTGAGTCACTTCATACCAGTAAACTGTGTTCTCTTTAGTCATGATTGATTTAAGCTATCATCGTGGTTTGCTTGTTGCTCAATTGCTCTATGGCGCCATCGCCTGTGTCTACAAAACGTAGAAGATCCATGCATTGAAGTCTTCGAAATTGATCGATCATTGGCCATATCCTGCGGTGCTATGTACATTACTTATGAACGCAGATCACCCGGCAGTCAGCCGAGTTTATGAGACATGGTGTTCACAACAATAGTGGTGGAGCTGAATTTAACCTGACACAATTCACTCTCACCATTCAGCAATTCAGTACCCGTATGCAATCCTTGAATTGCCTGGATCTAGGATGTCCCTGTTGGCTTATTTCATCGCTGGGCTTTAGTGGCTAACGTAACCCACGGTTAAGCGGCCCACACGGTTAGGCGGCCCATCTGGTTATCCCATATAAAAGATGTTTTTTTAAATCTTCATATCTCAACCAATACTGAATATAATCAGTTCTAACTTAATATATAGATAATATACAGTAGAATAAATAATATATAATTTTTCTAGATTTTTAAGAATGTCTTTTATGAGAAATATATCAATATATCCAAAATTACAGATAAATTACAGATTTTGTAATATGATAAGATACTATTCATATCTATATAGATTTTTGAGATGTATTGGATAGTTATTTATATAATTTATAATCTATTTATACAATATTGAGTCTTCTAGTCTTATAATGGTTGAGATATCTTGTGTTCAAAAAGGGTCTTTTGTATAGTATTACCAGCTGGGCCGCCTAACCGTGTGGGCCGTTTAACCGTGGGTTACGTTATAATCTACTTATGACATAGCTTTTCTGCATGACAGTGCTCGTCCATATTCCGGCTGCTTCCGATACTAAGGACTCATACATGTATGTATATGCTATGTGGTGCGCCCTCATGAAGTTTTCTCTAAATTTGATATAGCTGGTATGCTTAACACTAATAGGTCATCGTCATCGAATACTCATAGCCTCAGATCTGATTACCCATGTTTTGACTACAATTTCGATTGCCAGCCCAGAACTCGCAGGCAACATTGAAGAGTTATATAGTTAGTAGGCAATGTATCTTTCCTCAACTAGCCGACCTCATTACAGATAGTATAAATATACAACTTACATCAATAGATCATTGTCACGACATTTTTTTCAAACTACATATTGAACCATACACCAATAAGTCTAGTCCCTCCCCCTCGTTCCCTGCCATGACAAGTTCCTACTACATCTTTTCGACTCATGTATCTTCAATCAACAATTCGAGCAATTTGTTGACAAAACAAGCTACCACATATGGGATATCGTTAAGCAAATATGGAATTTGTGGCTGCCTATACAGAGTTCTCTAGATGACGTTTATTTATAGCAAAACAACAGAATACCAAGTGATAACTAATCCCTGGTCATAATAGAGCTAGTATGGATGTGCCATTATCAATGCATACTATCAACATGATGCTCATCCGAAAGAAGAATCTATTGGAATTCTTCCACATGCCAGGCCCTTTCCTGTGGGAGCTGAGGACCCGAATCGGCTGCATTCCGGGTTTAGAGCAGTTCCACTACATTGTTCATTTTGATTAAGCCCCGACTCGATGATGGTTCGGGCGGACGGACGGACGGCGCGCGGGAAGGTTAATGTTTATGTTTGTTGTTTACTCTTTAAGTTCGTGTTTGTTGAGTCTCCTGTACGCGTGTTTGGCTGAGCAGTGACGTTGTAGGGGTCTGTCTTCTGGGAGTAGGCTGCAGCATTCTCTGGAGAACCTCACTAGTGCGGTGACTGTCTCTACTCAGCGGTTCCATCGCCTGTAGTCGCTAGCAATTTCGAGCTAACAGATATAATCATCCTACTAGCTGCAGCATCTACAGTAACTCGTAATCGCATGGTCGGTGTAGATGTTATCCACATCCTATAACTAGTAACTCAGCCATGACCGTCACGTGCTTCGTGCTGTCCAAATCGCTTTCACATTTCACCGCTCAACCACAGGCTAAACCATACAGTGACCTGTTGATCGGCCGAACGGGTCTTAACCGAATTGCATATTCAGAATGCGTGATGCTCCAAAATTGGGCCCGATCAATGACTGCGCCTTGTACAGGATTTTGACCCTTTTCGCGGTTGCGGCTCTAAGGAGGTTTCGTCCATTTAAGGGAAGCGTTCTTATGTTGACAGATCGAATTTGTGTCAAATACGGACAACATGTAGACTTATCAGAGGCAGGTACTATGTGTTTCATCTCACAGAACACATCTATACCGGTTCCAAAAGTCCTGTGCGCCTTTACGCACCAGCGTTGCACCTACATTGTGATGGAAAGAATCAAAGGGGAAATGATTGGTGCCGGCTGGGTTTATCGGAGTGAGGAGTCGAAGGCAAAGATTCTTACTCAGTTGCAGAAGATGGTCCAGGAGATGCGAACACTCCCACCTCCAGCAGGCATGGGTGTAGGCTCCGTTGTGGACGGGACTCTCTTTGATGGCCGCCTGCCGGGCACTTCCCTACGCTTTGGGCCTTTTCCCAGTGTCCAAGAATTCCACCGACATTTGCGAGGTGGCATGGACTTTGACCCCGGACTTGATCCCGCCATACAGGAACTGATCAGACAACATGATAGATCTTTCCCGATTAAATTTACCCATGGCGATCTTAGTAGCCTCAACATTCTGGCCCGCGGGGACACTATTGTTGGAATTATTGACTGGGAAACTGCCGGCTGGTATCCATCATACTGGGAATATACTACAGCTTGCCAAGTCAACCCCCAAAACTCCTTTTGGATCAATGAAATCGATAAATTCATCACCCCTATGCCGGACGAACTGGCAATGGAACGAATTCGCCAAAAGTTTTTCGGGGATTATTGAGCAGTGATTTTCTTCTCGATTATTCTGGTCTAAGTCATGTGGAGTGGAGCCTTGCTCACATCGATCTCAGTGTACTTCCCTCATAAAATCACAGCCCTCGAACCCGTTCTCTGTAAATTTTATATACACATAATATATCTTTGAGGTTCTCAGTCAACAATCGTCAACCTGAAGACATGCAGATATGATTTCAGTTTCTCCAACCATGCACTCTTTATCACCAGATATACTTGCCCTCCTACTGATGAGCAATGCACTCGATCTCGACGTCTGTATTCAGGGGCAAAGTCTTAACCGCCACGCATCTACCCATCCAATCAGTATCAGTCAGCCATAATTCTACATCACAGCGTTTAACCCTCCCCCACATTCGTGGAATTCACACAGAAACAGGGAAAGGGAAAATTACTCACGTTCGACAAGGCTTAACATCCCCCCAGTATTGCATATAGACAGAATTCATGTCGGCAAAGTCATCCATATTTGACAAGAATACGTTCACCTTGAGGACCTTGGTGAGATCGCTACCGGCGGCTTCGAGAACGTTTCCGAGGTTTTTGATGCATTGGTGCTATGTTATCAGCGAGTCATTAGGGGATGTTGTAGAATTATCGGTGAGGGGAATGAGGGAAGATAAATGCGTACTGTGTGCGCTTTGATATCGCCATCAATGATCTTGCCTGTCTCTGCGTCCATAGCCACCGCGCCAGAGCAGTAGACGACCCCGTTGGAGACAATGGCTTGGGAATAGATTCCGGGAAGGGCCTTGGGGGCCTTGTCAGTTGAGATGGGGGTTTTGGTGGCCATTTTAGTGTGCTTTTGCTTGTTTCTCTTTCAATTGGTAGATGTTAAAATGGTGATTGAGATTGAAATTGCTCGGTTCTTTTGATTTGTGTTTGGAAGAGTCGGAGAGTGGCACCTGATGTTTGGCAGGTTATATATATACAAACCAACAATGTTACTTAGACGGCATGCACTTATGAGTCATTACCACTACAAACCCCTCTCACGCGGGTACTAATTTCGCACTCTAATGCTTTCCAGGTCGGATACAGATACGATTGCCGAAAATTCATCGCCTGCCTTTCTTCTCATCTCGCTACCACTGAAGCTGTCAGTGGTTAAGTGGTGGGAGGTGGGGAAAGGTGAGGGGACGGAAGCGTTTCTCTTATCGCGGGTTAGTAAGTCGTTACTACTCGTTATCGGGGATCATCAACCAGCCGTGAGGGGAAAGCAACACAAACAGGAAAGTCGAGCCGGAATGCATCCCCTGATTGATCCCTTGCGCTCGGACGATGACCGCGATGTAACCGAGGAATACAACTCAGAGGCTGGCATTGATTGTCAGATAGATAGGATAGAGTTACCCGTTCCTTTTCTTTCCTCAGAACAGAACAGAATTCCCAATCTGTAGAGTGAAATCAATCAGTGACCTACTACTTTCATCATGTCCCTTTACAATCCTCAACCCCCATACCCCCTTCACCCCTCGGTGCAAGACAAGCTCGACCCTGAATATGTCGCTTTCTACAACCAGTATGTGATGAACCAGCAGCAGGTTCATCTGCAGCCTGTCGCGGCCTCGCGATCGAGCGGGGTCCTGATCCCAGGCGGGGGTCCCGTTCTGCCTGTTGGGAAAACCATCGATCTTCGTCTTCCACGACGCGTCACAGACGGTGCAGAGGTTCCTGTGCGAGTGTTTGTGCCGGAAGGCACTACACCGGCATCCGGATGGCCGGTCATGCTCTATTTCCATGGCGGTGGATGGGTGCTGGGAAACATTGACACGGAGAATCCAGTTTGCTCGAATCTCTGTGTGAGGGGTCGCTGTGTCGTGGTGACGGTGGATTATCGGTATGTATCTATTCCGAGTGTATCTGCATGCAATTGAGCAGGATGGAAAGATTGACAAGACATTTTCTTTGAAAGTCTCGCACCTGAACATCCCTGGCCCGCTGCCGTGCACGACTGCTGGGAGGCTCTCCTCTGGTTGACTTCCGAAGGACCTTCTCAACTTCCCATCGATATCAGCAAGATTGCGACCGGTGGATCTTCAGCGGGCGGAAACCTGGCTTGCATTATCACTCAGAAAGCCCTGACACTATCGCCTCCTGTTCACTTTAAGGCCCAGCTGCTCTCCGTGCCGGTGACAGATAATACGGCCAGCGTGGAAACAAACCATGCCTATAGGGAATACGAGCATACCCCGGCTCTCCCGGCAGCAAAGATGCTCTGGTATCGGAACCACTATCTACCGAATCAGGCGGACTGGGACAACCCTGAGGCGAGCCCGTTGTTCTGGACGGGAGATTGGTCTGCCCTGCCCCGGGCTTTAGTCATGGTGGGTGAGCTGGATGTGCTCCGAACGGAAGGGGAACAGTATTCTGAGAAGTTGAAGAAGGCTGGCGTTCAGGTAGATTTGCAGGTCATGAAGGGCATGCCTCATCCGTTCCTGGCTATGGACGCTGTGTTGAAGGAGGGGAAACGGTCTATTACTCTGATGTGTGATCTACTGACGGAGGTATTTTGGACGAAGCCTTAGGGAGAAGCAACAGGGGTACACTGGAATAGAACCAATTAGTATGCTCATATGCTATGACTGTGCCCACATTTCGCACTCACTCTTGGCCATTTCACAAGAAGGGTAGGAGGACCGTACTAGTAGCCACTATATCTTAGGGTAAGTATAGCGCAGTGAGCTATCCCCGACCAAAGAAATCCTTGGGATACGCATCGGGTTATGAAACAAAGCTCACAAAAGAGTACTGGGGTTCTTGTCCTACGCTATCCCTTTGCGACACCTGCAGCTGACGGCGTGTAACATGGCACCCTTTGCTGCAGGTGTAACCTAGCTACCCTGCAGCACATGGATATGTCAGTTCCTTTCCGGGCGGACTGTTCTCCGAGCCCCAGCATTGTCGTTGTGTACCTGTCCCTCCTGTATATTCGGACTTTCTCTGTTGTAATGTCGGTTGTCGCAGCCTCGAGCGGTAGCCAGTTTGTGCATGGCTTTCACTTCTCCCCGAACACGAGTTGATTGTCTGTGAAATACGGATTATGGCATGTCACTGTGTCTCAGCCCCAGCTAGGCCAATACCATTGTACAAAGGGTCCTGCAAGCTTTTAGTCTTGTCATCCTCGGAAGCTTCATACTGTTTCCCAGAGTGGTACACGGTTATTGCTACGAACAGTGAAACGTCACATGCTTGAATTGTCCGTTTGACAAGTCTCTCCTTGAGAACAAAAGCATAGACGTGAAAAAACACAGCCGGGTCTAATGTAACAATTCTAGCCCCGTAAGACTACGGGCACAGATAAATGCCTGACACCTACTCGATGTCTATGTGTCCTATGAGAGTGGTATCCACCGACCAATGAACTCTGAGAGGCACACGGGGAACTGCTAGGAAAATCCGACGGCCCTGGCCATAAGGCTCTATGACCGTTCATTTCCACTCCTCGCCAGATTGCAGCACGCTAATCCCTTCAGAGAAAAAATGACTATCAAGTGCAATTTCCGGTTCTCCGATGCATGACTCCGACGTCGCTTAGCGCCTGGTTATAGTGGAAGAAAACCCTGACCTCCAGTGGTTCCCCTCTCTACGAACAGGTACACTGAGCCATGCAGCCAGGAAGGTCCGTGGTCGGTCGGAGGCTGCTTGAGGCCTAGTGGGGTATCTGGCTGGTGGATGGGTCGGCTAAGAAAGTATCTAGTCAAAGTGTGATTATTTGGACCAGGAGAGAAAAAACAGACCAATGGACTATCGACTAAGGAGAAAATATTCCTCGGTGGCGTTCCTTGAGAAAACTGTCATGTCAGACTTTTCCACCTTACTTTCCGGCTCAGCTATTCTTACTTATGAATTGAACATCCGCCCCTACCAAGCTCTAAACAAGCGACAGGCAGTTACAAATTGACAACACTGCACAGTACTAGTAGTCCCTGATTGTCGATCGGATGATCCGGTCAACTCCGAGAGCCTTAAGCAACGGAGAAGAGCCGTTCCGTGGGTCCCGGTCCAAATATTTGACTTTTCATTTCTCGCCATCACAACAATCAGAAAGCGAGAGGCGAAGGTAAGACATTGGAGCCCAAAGTTTAGCCCGGACGTTTCCCAGCCTGACCAGTGGTCTGTCAAGTTCTATATCCCGTCTCTCTGATTGGTGTTCCTGACCATCAGCGTTCCACCAGAGACCCCTAGCTAGTCCCGATCAAGCTACTTCCACATATACGCTAGCCCTAAATGGAATTAGCACATAACACGGACACGGTATTGTCACCACAATACCAGGATCACGCCCACCAGCAGGGTCCAGGACTAGACTAGCTTCCCTCCAGGCAGGCCTCCAGGTCCATGGAAGGCATCCATTCCCACCTCGCTATCTCCATCTATCTCTCATCTTCCGGCCTCTATCCGTCCAGAAAAGTGATCCCATCTCTTCATCTTATATCCACCGTTTATCGAAGCTACTCTCGACTATGAGGCGCTACCTCCTCATTCTCCACTTAGGCTGAATTCAAGCACAGCCGGAGCCTGAACGCTGTGAGTAGCGTATATCGCTTTTGCCTCTTATTGTCCATTTCGACCGAGACTAACCATAACAGTCGGACCCTGATGCGGCTCTACACCAGGCATTTACTCAATCAGGGTGCTCGGATGCCTACTGTTGCCTTGAGCGTAATGTCGGCCCTCACATCTTCCATCCTCCGGATCCAGTCACGTCTGCTCCTGGCCGGTGACCCCTGGTGCTCCCATATCAAGCGCCTTGTTAGCTTCCGATATTCCCTGCTGCTAGCACAAGAATGGAGCCCATTTTCCATCACCTGATTGTCCGGTTGCACTTGCCAAGCCATATTATCCGCATGGCAATTTCGGTTGTGCTCGTTGGATGAACTGTATTTGGGATATTCGAGCTAATGACTGGGAAGATGCAATGGGGTTAACGCTAACCCCCAGGAAGACCTATCTTCCATCATGTTATATACCCTCCCTGCCCACCAGTTCTGTTTCCAGTGCCTCATTCTTCGACGTTCGCTTGCGGAGACACTCCTTAGCAGACATTTGTCTGCGTCCTTTCGTTGAATCACCAAGGTCTCTTTACTGGCTTGCGGCTTCCTTACGCCTGCCAGTTGCCACTCCTTCTTCGACATGGTGTTCAAGCCTCTTACCATCGCTGCCGCGATAGCCGGCCTCACTCCTTTTGTGTCCGCTTTCGATGCCCAGGCAAAGTCCAACGTTGCCGTTTACTACGTATGTTCTGACCACCCAAGCGCCCGTTCAGCCATTATAACTTGTACTTATCTGTCTATAGGGTCAAGGATATGGTCAACAACGGTTGAGCCATTTCTGCCAGGAAACCTCGTTGGATATCATCAACATTGGATTCATCAATACTTTCCCTGATCAGGGAGCTGCCGGGTGGCCGGGTAGTAACTTCGGCAATCAATGTGATGGCCTGACTTATGAAGTTGACGGCGTCTCAACGAAGCTCCTTTCTGGTTGTCACCAGATTGCAGAAGATATTCCCATCTGCCAAGCAGCAGGAAAGAAGGTTTTACTGTCCCTTGGTGGTGCCTCTCCCGACAACCAGCAGATTCTGTCAGATGCCTCTGCTGTTCGGTTCGCCGATTTCCTCTGGGGTGCCTTTGGTCCGCAGACGGAGGAATGGGTGTCGAATGATGGTCCTCGTCCTTTTGGAGAGGTTGTTGTTGATGGGTTTGATTTCGACATTGAGCACAACGGCGGTTTTGGTATGTCTCCCGCTCGAGGACTTTTGTTATTAATGTGCACCCCCCTCTAATCGTGACCAGGATATGCGACTATGGTCAATCGGTTCCGAGAGCTTTTCGCTTTGGTCCCGGAGCGTACCTTCTACATCTCTGGTGCCCCCCAGTGCCCGATACCCGACCCTCAACTCAGTGATGCAATCGCCCAATCCCCTTTTGACTTCGTTTGGGTGCAATTCTATAACACTGCTGGCTGTGCCGCTAGCGACTCCATCAATGGTGTCAGCACCGGCTTCAACTTTGATGACTGGGTGGATGTCATCAAGCGTGGAGCCAACCCGGACGCAAAGCTCTATGTGGGATTGCCTGCCGGCCCCGGTGCAGCAGGAGCGGGATACTACCTGACACCGGAGGAAGTCTACCCTCTAGTGGATGTGTATATGAACCTCTACCCGGAGACGTTTGGAGGAATCATGCTTTGGGAAGCAACGGCTTCGGATGAGAACACGTTCAGTGGACTCACATTTGCCGACGTGATCAAAGACATTCTGGTTGCAGTTGACCCTTCACCACCGGTTCCCAGCCCTTCGTCTAGCAGCGTTATCGCCTCAAGCACACCTGTGGCCTCGAGTACCCCTGTTGCATCAAGCGCTCCCGCTTCATCCACCCCGATTTCCTCAGGCAGCCCAGTTCCGTCAAGCTCTGCTGTTTCCAGCTCCCCCGCGGTTTCAAGTACTACCGAGTCTTCAAGTACTCAGGTGGTATCGGGCAGCGTCTCTGCGTCGAGTAGCCCTATTACATCAAGCCCTGTGGCTTCCAGCACTCCAGTGGCAAGTAGCGCGCCCTCGGCTACCAGTTCCGCTGTGGCTTCCAGCTCACCTATTGCCCCAAGCTCCCCGGTTGCCTCTAGCTCTGCTATTGCCTCTAGCTCTGCTATTGCCTCCAGCTCTGCTATTGCCTCCAGCTCTGCTATTGCCTCTAGCTCTGCTATTGCCTCCAGCTCTGCTATTGCCTCCAGCTCTGCTATTGCCTCTAGCTCTGCTATTGCCTCCAGCTCTGCTATTGCCTCCAGCTCTGCTATTGCCTCCAGCTCTGCTATTGCCTCCAGCTCTGCTATTGCCTCCAGCTCTGCTATTGCCTCCAGCTCTCCTGTTGCGCCCAGCTCTCCTGTTGCGTCTAGCTCTCCAGCAGTATCTAGCTCTGCCATCGTTTCCAGCACTCCAGCGGTCAGCACTCCTGTGGCATCCAGCATCCCCGTTATCTCTAGCCCTGCTATTGCATCTGGATCCGCTATTGCGTCTAGCTCTCATGTTGCTTCTTCAAGCACCCCTGCGGCATCGAGCAGCCCCGCTGTCTCGAGTTCTCCTGTGGCATCGAGCAGTCCGGCCCTGTCAAGCAGCCCATCTGCATCTGCATCAAGCACACCTATCATTCCAAGCTCGACTGCCAGTTCTGCCGTCGTATCGAGCTCTCCCACTCCTTCAAGCTCCGTTGTGAGATCAAGCTCTCTGCTCTCTTCCAGCTCACCGGCCCTGTCCAGCACTCGCACTCCCAGCAATCCTGTTATTCCAAGCAGTTCAGCCATTTCCATCACTCCTTCAAGCACGCCTGTCCGGTCAACTTCGTCTGTTGCCCCAGGAAAGTCGTCCAGTGCCCCTGTTATTCCAAAGCCATCTTCCACGGTCATTGCAACTTTCACCAGTTCCTCTGGGTCATTGCCCTCTTCCAGCGCTCCCGCTGGATCCGGCGTTCCATCATCATCTACCCTGCCACATCCTTCTAGCACATCGTTGCTGTCAAGCTCACCCGTTAGCTCCGCCGAACCGGTCTCTTCAAGTTCTGCTGTAGGAACCAGTGTGGGTTCCTCGTCCAATGTGGTCACTGGGGTGTCGACCAGGTCAAGCTCGTCAGTTGTCCCCTCTGGCACGCCAATCCCGCCAGTTTCGGGAACAGCCACCGAGTCTGTTACTTCTTCATCAAGTGGATCGGGCAGTCCCACCGTGCCAAGCTCAATCAACACGTCGAGCACAGATGCTTCATCAAGCTCTTCCGCCTCTTCCGTGGAGCCTACTTCCTCAGGATCGGTGATCACATCAGTGACTTCATCCAGCGCCTCTCGTGTGTCAAGCTCCTCTAGCTCGGTTGTAATCACCAATCCATCGGTGCCTTCCGACAGCTCGTCCTCCTCTGGTAGCGAACTGTCGACAACCTCGAGTACCGAGTCTACTAGCTCAGCATCAAGCCAGACCGGAGCGCCAACGACTTCCGTTTCTTTGGGCAGCTCGGAAGCAGCCAGCACCTCAACCTCCGGTGCCGCTGCAAGTGGCTCGGGTGCTCAGGACAGCACAAAACCTACTGATCACGCAAGCACTCTTTCCCCATCGTACTCGACTCCCCTCGCCAGCGCCTCAGGACAAACAGGTAGCCCAACTACCGTTCCAGCTGGTATACCAACCGGCAATGGAAGTGGACTCGCTCCGATCACTTCCAGCATCACATCTGCCCAGGCGGTACCTTCCGTCACATCCAGCGGCTTGGAGTCGGAGCCGGAGCCTACCATCACTACCACGGTCATTGTGACTTCTTACATTGACATCTGCCCAGAAGGTTTCACTACGATCACCACGACTTACACCACTACCTACTGTCCTGCAACGGTGTCTGCCACAGCCACAGCCACAGCCGCCGTCACCAACCCTCCCGGCGCTCCAGCGCAGACCACGAGTCCCAGCGTCCCTGAGGGCTGGACGACGACTGTGACCGTATGCACTCACTGCGCTCCCACACCGACTACTGTGACCCTTACTTTGCCGGCCACCAATCGGCCGTCTGCGCTGGCGTCCTCGACCAGCGCACCGAACTCTCCTGAAGACTGGACCACTACGGTCAGTGTCTGCACTGACTGTGGTCCTACGCCTACCACGGTAACGGTCACGATCCCCGTCGGCGCTGCCACGGGTGTTGATGCCCTCACTGCCAGTCCGTCCGGCAGTCAGCCTGCCGGGGAGAGTTCGCCCGGTCAAAGTGCCCCTACAGCCCCCGCGTCAACAGCCCCCACCACCACCGAGACAGTCATTGTGGTCCCGAGCCAATCGTCAACCAGCCAGCCGGTAATTCTTGGAACCGGCAGCGTCCGTGCCTCATCGACCTTCCATATCCAGCCATCCCAGAGCGGGTCCCGAGTGCCTGTGGCTCCCAGCGGCACGGCCGCCGGCGTGTCGCCCGTATTCACCGGCGCGGCTTCGCGGGTGTCACGACTGCAACACGGTGCGGGTGCAGTGTCAGCGTTTGCGCTGTTCCTCTTGGCAGCCATCTAAACGATGTGCTTCCTAACTTAACGAAAATACTTTCGCCATGAGAACCCACAAGCAACTTGGACCAAGTGTTTTTGGATGTAATGCTTAATCTCAGGATGATACTATTGCCTCTAACTGTCCGCCATGTATTTAACTTTCATTCTACCAGCGATATAGCTGTACTCTTAACGACCAGTATATTACTTTACCACCAAATGCCATTCTTTTGAATCTACTCCGTACAAAGGAGGGGAATGTATTGAATCCCAGTAATGCCACAGCCGATGCCCCAGGCAGCCAAGATCAGCCAAGACGGGACGATCCGGGTGTGCCAAGGCGTGATATGGAGGGGGAGTGATGCGTTGTACGATGGATATCGAGACCCTGGAGTTTCAGCCGTGGTTTCACCCTTTTCATTTTGCTTTTCGAGTGGAAGACAAGTCGTCGTGACTGTGTCTAGACGCGGTCGATTGATGCCTGATGCCCATCTGACTTGGAGAAAGATGGTGTGTGGCATGGCCTGGCCCCCAGGTCATCGACCACAGCATGGCAGAATGATAGGCTAAGGAGAACTTCGGCCCCCGGGCGACTAAGCCGGATGGAGGAAGTGATGAACAGCCCAAGAGAGTGTTTTCTCTGCGTATTGATTTGAAAGATGTTGAGTAGTTTCTACTGTAGATTTGTATTCCAGTATATAACTAGTAATACAATACAGACTGGTGTATGAATAGATACGATGATACCATACCGCACTAAAATAGATTCATATCAGCAACACCGCCATACTCCGTGAGTGACCAAGCCACAATCGATCACCGGAGCATAGCCACCACCGCTCCTCCCCTCCACTGGGGTAAATTAGCATGGGATGATCAAGTCACTCACCCACTCCAACCAGTCAATCAATCATTCTTGGCCGCCCCTCTTTCCCCCCCTGAACTGGAACTGAAAATGGGAACTGATGAGAGAGAGAGAGTGAGAGAGGGAGGGAGTGTGTGGGTGTGGGTGGGTGCTAAAATGAAACAACAGCCGAGATTGGAGAAACAAGAGGAGGACCCTTGACTTAGGCTAGCTTTTGTGCCCCTCTCTGTGTCTTACTTTAGTAGGCAATTCTCCTGAATCCCACTTAAGGTGAACAGCCACAATTCATGCCACATCCAGTAAGTCTAGTAGACTATCTCTCTATCTTGTATACAGTATAACATCTCCTATCGATCGGACCCCACTTTATCTTTTTTTGGGAGTTGCTTATTTACCTAGACTATAAGTAGTTTTGTTGGCCTTTTCTTTTCCCCTTCTTTTTCTTTTTTCTCCCTTCCTCATACTTTGCATTCTTATACACATACACTCTCTATATACTATCTCATCCTACCTTTCCTCCTCTAACCCTCCCCCTCTATCATCCCCTTCCACACACCAACCACCCAAAATGGACTTCCTCAAGAACATGGCCGAAGAAGTCATCGAAAAGAAATTCGGTGGCGGCGGCTCCTCTTCCTCCCAACAACAGCAACAATCCTACCAAAGTGAATCTTACGGCCGTCAGGAATCCTACGGTGGTGGCGGTGGTTACGGCGGCGAGTCCTACGGCCGTCAAGAATCTTACGGTCGTCAGGAATCCTACGGCGGTGGCTACGGCGGTAACGAGGGCTACGGCCGTCAAGAAGGATACGGCCGTCAAGAGGGATACGGCGGCGGCTATGGCGGCGGATACGGTGGTGGTGGTGAGGGCTATGGACGCCAGGAGGGAGGATACGGTGGTGGCTACGGTGGCGGCTACGAGTCCCGTCAGCAGGGTTACTATGGTGAACAACAGCAGCAGCAGGAGCGCCCTGACCACAGTAGACGGAATATGGCGCTGGGTGTTGGTGCGGGAGTGTTGGTTGGTGGAGCGGCGGTTATTGGGGGAGAGATGATCCGTAAGTTATCTGATTTCTATTTCCATATATGTACGGAGATGGCTAACGTTGGGATTGATTTCAGATGATAAATGGGAGGAAGACAAGGAGGAGATCAAGGAAGATGTGGAGGACTTCCCCGAGGATGCGGCTAGATGGACGGGTGAGAAGGTGAGTTTAATACATGTCCCGTCATCTTGTTTGTTCTGTGTCTTTGATATGATATTGATGATTGTGTGTCTAGGTCGGTGAAGTCGAAGATATCCCCGATCGCATCGAGCGGAAATGGGACAACGCCGTCGATGATGTCGAGGAAGTTCCTGAGGGTATGGCCGAATGGGCTGGCGAGAAGGTCGGATCTGTGGAGCGGTTCGGTGATAATATGGAGGATGCGTATGATGAGGGCAAGTATGAGGGTCGTGAGGAGGATAGTTGGTAGATTGGATGATTATATCCATGGCATTGTGGTTTGAGATTTCTAGGGTGATAAGCATTTCGTGAAAGTTGAATATACAGAACATTGCCCGATATTGCGTTTCATAGAATAAGGGTTATCGGAGGTAACCGGATACATTCTCCTAGGCACTGCAGGGCTGCTATTTAATGATAGTTTATGTTAGTGGGCAGGCAAGCTTCAACTGTTATTCTGAGCAGTTAGCATATGCAATACAGCGCAGCGAAGCAGAACAACCAGCATATTCTTCGAGTCCACACCGTTGTGGCGAACATTTGCTCTGCGAATCTCTTTAATCCTATCTACTGTTTAATTAGCACAGACCGACTCTTTGGCATTCGGTAGATCCTCATGTTTTATTCTCTTGATTAATAAAAGTGATCTTCTGAGGATTTGGTAAGCTAGGATTGAAAAGAAGACGGATCTAGTTTATTGATATATCCAGCTTGAAAAGAACGGGACAAAAGCCTCGCCCACACATCCAGATTGCAGGTTAAGATATGCATTCATTTTATCTTAATATCAAGCGAATCGAATTTCGAGCGAATAATTGCCCTATGATCTCATATTCCTTGCACAAGCTACATCAGTCCCGCTGTGCTGGTTTGTAGGGAAGTTCCCCGCACGTGCCCCGGACCTCGGCTGCGGAGAAGCAAAGCCGCTGGCTGGAGCTCCCTCCAACCTAAGTATCGACCATCGCGCTGCTGGCAGTGCAACTAGCTGTATCAACAGTGCTATCCTTGTCAGTTTATATATTTGAATTACTCTCAAGTCTCTATACGAAATGCCCGCTCCTCTTGATGGAATTCGTGTGGTCGAGCTGGCTGGCCTAGCCCCCGGTTCGTCCGTCTATCACCCCCTTTCCCCAAAAAGAGATCCCCCAAAGAGAGCCCCCCATACTGACATACATCTACATAGGTCCCTTCACCGGACTATTACTTGCCGACTATGGAGCCTCCGTACTGCGAATAGACCGACCAAAAGCCAAGAGCGCCGACCAGTTGACGCGCAGGAAAACGTCCGCTACCATTGACCTCCGAGACCCCGCCTCTCATCGCGTGCTCCTCTCCGCTCTCAAGGACGCCGATGTCCTGATTGATCCATATCGCCCCGGCGTCCTGGAGCGACTGGGCTTGTCGCCGTCGGAGGTGCTTCTGAAACATAACCCTCGCTTGATCGTGGCTCGTTTGACGGGCTTTCGTCGTGATGGCAAATACAAGGATATGGCGGGTCACGACATCAACTATATTGCTGTGGCGGGGGTACTATCTATGATAGGTCGGTCGGGAGAACGCCCTTACCCACCACTCAATCTTCTCGGAGACTTTGCTGGCGGAGGTGCCACATGCTTCTTGGGGATCCTGTTAGCGTTGATCTCGCGCACGCACACTGGACGCGGCCAGGTCGTCGAGGCAAACATGGTCGACGGCTCTGCGTATTTGGCTGCAATGCCACGGTTGGGCAGACAAACGCCCTTCTGGGACGCGCCCCGCGGTCAGAATACGCTGGACGGAGGAAGTCCGTTTTACGACACATACGAAACCAAGGATAAGGGAAAGTATTTCGCGGTGGGCGCGTTGGAGCCGCAGTTCTACGATGCCCTGCTGAAGGGGCTCGAATTGAACCCCGAAGAACTGCCACCGCGGGACAACAAGGACAACTGGCCGGCGCTCCGGGCTGCCTTCGCCAAGCGGTTCAAAGAAAAGACCCGGGCTGAGTGGGAGGCCGTATTCGATGGTACAGATGCCTGCGCCACACCTGTGTTGGAACAAGATGAGCTCGAGAAGAGTGGCTATGAGCAACGGCCCGCTGTCCATCTGGTGGAAACTCCCGGGCTCCCGATTCCGGCCGACGACGGGGGCTGGACGGGGGGTGGCCTGATACCCGGCACCGGGGGCGAAGAGACGCTCAAAACATGGCTGGGGTGGAAGAAGGGCCGCGATTATGATGTCAGGCGCGATGGAGCACTAGTAAAGCTACCGGATGGTAAAGCTAAGCTCTGATAGCGAGGTGGTGTTTGTTTTTTGTTGGCGCAACGGTGTCGACGCGATACGAGGCCATGTTCCAAAAATGCACGTTAAGTTTGATCAGGCCCTGGGTCGATGAGGCTTGGAGAGTGGCGTAAGGCTGAGCAACTTGACGAACTGGCGAATAAGCAAGTAGCCGACGACGGTCAACCGCACAACATTTGAACCTTAACATATCCACCATGGTGTCATTGAACGAGTAGATAGCTATGTTTGGGGAGGTTGATCAACGGTAAATCCCGACGCTGGCACTTGTTACAGTGGTTAGACACAGACAAAGCCAAGTCAAATTGAATTCGAACCCAAGCAATGATAATGGCTTTGTTTCAGTTGATCCACGGACGAGGCCGGACCAGCGATGGGGGGTGGAGGCTCATCCCGTCTGCACCTTGGTAAATTGCTAATTTGCCAACGATGCGATCGATGCACAAGCACCAAAGCCACCCGATCCGGATTAGGTATACTGTTTGGTGTGTTGTTAGTAAGATTAGGGAAAAGGCCACCGGGCATTCCGTAGCGACATGCAGTTGATCTGATCCAACGTGCATAGCGACTACTGTGCATGACAGCGTGGTCTCCATTCTCGCTGCGATTGGCATAAGCAACGGAGAAGAGCCGAGAATTTGCATGCCAGCATGAGGGGAGCAAGCGACGATGGCTAGCTGAACGATGGATCCCGTTGGGAATGAGCGTTACAGCAGCGCCCGGATGTAACATGTATGTTTTTTTCCTTTGCTAGGATTTTGCGGGGGGGCCGTAACAGTTCGGACTAGTTGGGACTAGTTTAGTCTCGTGCAAGTGCGAAAGTTGCAACTCTTTCTCGCAGTCATCGTCACGTCACTTTTCCTTTCCTCCCCCCCCTTCGGTTACGCCGCGGAACTCGTCTCCGTTTTGGAAAGGTACCACCTCAGTACGTATCTAAACTAACCTTTGTTGCTAGCAAAGTACTACTTTCCCCCCCCCTTCCCGGTATGGGAGGTTCCACCCTGTCCCCATCCCTGGTTCATAAGAGTAGTAAGTAGTACTTTTATGCAGTACTAGTAAAGGGTTGCCTGGAGAAGTACCCGGCTGCGGTAATTTGGGAGCAAGAAAAAACTCTCTTTTGAACAAAGACTGACTGATACCTGCTTACTAGTCTTCCCGGTAGTAACTACTAGTCTAGTAGGTACCTGATCAAATGCAACCAACTGTAGTGTCTGTAGTGTAGTAGAGTATTACCTACTAAGTAACCCCCTCTCTTGCCTCCCTGCCTCTCGGCCTAACCGGTCACTCCGAATCCCACTCCCTGACCGTCTTCGGTTTGCCTTCCTGCGCCCGTTATACGTCAATGCATGACTACCTCAGTGAAACAATCTTTCTATCTTGTCCTTCCCATCTCTCAGCCCCAAATTGATTAGAAAGAATTGCAGTGCTGCCGGCCTTCCGGATGTTTCAGCAGTGGGGTAATAGACGTCATTAATTTGCTACTATCTGGTTCTGGTACAATCCGGTTCCTTGTGGTAGTAAGGTACCGTATCATTGACCGACGGTATCTCCCGCGATTGCCTAGTGCGGTATCACTGTCCGGTATCGTCTTTGTATCCTCGATACCTTTCTAGCCCACGTGCGTGGTGTGGCGCAGTATGATAGTGTCTCCTGACGATCGTGTCTTACAGCTTATCGCGCGCTAAAAGGGTGGTGCTTTTGAGACATCGGAGGATAGACAGCGCAAATCAAAGGGGGAAAAGGAGCTTCCCAAGCTCCTTTGATTGTTTTGTAGCTATCTGGGTCGATTGCCTGCAGTTCCTTGTCCACAGGGCCAACCCATCCCTGGTGCACCTGTGGCTGTGCAGGTACTTTCCATCGTTTGCTTGAGGTTCCGTAAGGGGGCGGTATCAACGGTACCTTGTACCGGAGGGTCGTATTCGGTACCACCCCGTCTGACGGTCACAACTGGGTTTTTCAGAACCAAAGTTCACGCTCCTCTTCTTTTCTCTCATCTTCTTTTCCCGATCGATCGCCTCCAAAGTCCGTTGTTCATCGTTCGTTCATTTTCCCTTCATTTCGCTCTGCTCCAGTCCTTTCAACCCCGCCTCTCTTTCTTTCCCTCTTTTCATTGCTTTATTTACCTGGTCTGCCTCGATCGCCTTGTGATCAATCACTGTCAGAGATATTTCTTATCACAAGACAGAGACTCTGAAAGTGACTGTGTGTGAGTGACTTGTGTGGTTGGACTCCGGGCGTCAGCACTGTCTCCTACTACTACTACTACTGCTGCTGCTGCTGCTGCTACTTCCTTAGTACCTTCTGTTAAGCGTCGGTCCTAAGTAGTAGTGTCCGGTCACGGCTTCTATCAATGTTCCCTGCAGGTGTGACTTGGTAATATTGGGTACCCGCCAACTGCCAGCCCTCGTGTGCATGAGTGACTGAGCGAGTCTGTTTGTCTGCTGCGTCTTGCACTCTCTCAGCACCGCTACTCCAACACAACACTACCAGCGTCATCTTATTCACTCCCCCTCTTTCCTCTCCCTAACAACTTAAGCGCTCGCCTCTTCCGAAGCGCTTCCGACCTCTTGGTAGAAGCCATTACTATTATAGCGCTGATACCACATTCCCATTGTATCAGCTGGGTCGGTTCCTCTCCCTTTCTTCGCGCCTCGCATTCGGTTGCCTGTCCGGTACGACAACCCAGCCGCTGGCCGCTCATTGATCCCCAATAACCGCTCTCCCACACTGTCTACGACTTTCCCTTCCCTGTCCTGAAATCGCGGGGATCACTGGTCGACGTTTGACCACAACTCTGTTTCAACTATCTCGGTGGCTACCCCTGCAATCTCCGCCACCACCCGGAGTGGGAACCGTCACTACAGTTCCTCGACACCCCCCCCCTTCGTTTACCGATCGAGCTCTGCCTAGATGGCTGGTGTGCAGCTGCAACAGCCCAGCATGACTGACTATCGTCTCCCAATGCATCATCAGCCGCCACCGGCTCGCAAACCAGTTGCCGGAATGCATTCCGGCTTCCCTTACCAGGCCTATGACGGGCCTCACCACCACCAGCAGCTTTCTCCCCATCCATCGGCCGCCTCCCTTGCGCACAACCGTCGGCGAACCTCTTCCTCCCATGTGATACCCTACATGGCACAACAGCAGCAGGCATACTCTGCGGGGCCCTCACCACATCATACGATGACCGGTCCACCCAATTATCCTCCTTCAAGGCGTTTATCGAGTGCGACCACATCTACGACCTCCACAGGCAATGTTAACTACGGCGGTAACCCACAGACGGATATTCGCCGCAGCACTTCGTCCCGCTCCGCCAATGCTCAGTTGGGTTATGTCGCTTTGATGCGGAGACAAAAGGCGACAGTATGGTGTGACCGGGCACAGCCCGAGGATCCTCGCATACGAGCGCAGAAGCTGGTCGATAAGAAACGGGCGTACCTGGAAGTCCACGGCGCAGGCGCCGGACGCACGGGTACCCTTGGAAGCGGCAAGAACAAGCACGGCGGCAAGGGAACTACTGATTTCTCGCCCTCGACACTGGTCGGCGCTACGGTCCCGGTTCGGCTCAGTGCAAACGAGGTCGGTGACGCGGATGAGGATGCCCACAGTGACCGAGGGTTCCCTTATCGCCGGACCGGTAGCGGTCGCAGTTCTCTGGGTAGCAATTCCCGCTATCCCAGTGGCTACCAACGTACTCCGCAGAGTACGATGGGGAGCACCAGCACGCCTCCCAACGAGAAGACCGACCTCCCTGATGTCTCCGAGCACCCACCAGCGGAAAGCCACGAAGCCGAGCAGGACCACGCCTCCATCAAGGATGATGCTGCTACTACAAACAGTTTTGGTAGTGAGCACGAAGAATACTTTGGTACCGTGAGTGATATGGCCGCACCAAGTGCGGCTTCTGCGGCGATCGAGAAGGCCAAGAAGGCGGATGAACTGCGTCGCCGAGGCAGTGTTGATGATCGAACGACGTCCATGACCAATGTCCGGCTTTTCGTGGCCAACCCCGATCTGAGTGACTAGACATGCGGCTTGTGTCGCTGCTGGGATTATTCCCTCCACACATTACCGATACTTGGCACTGCATCGACTTATGCAGTCCAATGTCGCATTCGAGCTCTACGCCTCTTTCCTTTCTTTTCCCTGAACTTTCGTCCTGCAAACTCGGGCTCGGATACCATGTCTGGTGCAATGCTTTTGCAATGCCCTCCAGCCTTGATTTGCTTCACGACGGCAAGATGCCCCTTAACTGATTGACTTGAACTTGTTCTATTCCCCTCACCGCATGTTATTGGCGCTTTTTGCTGTGCTGTAAGGGTTGCACGCTACTTAAACTTGCAACCTTGCACCAAGTTGGCGTCCGATGGATTTATGAGCAAAGTAATAATAATACTATTGTACATATGACCATATTAATCGCTATAGCGAAGTAGACGCTGTAGAGAAAAGGTGTTGTAGGTTTGTCGCGACTCAGTTGGAGGCAACTTGGTGAAATTATGAACACTCGTTACTCACTCAGTACAACAAGCGAAAGACTTTTCATTTCAACATTTGACAGACAATATACCTACATACAGAGCTCCAGCAATGTAGATAGACAGACCATAGTGGGCTGATAAGTCGTGAACTAGGGGGGCGTTCTTACATAATACAACACACGTGCGGGACGCGAAATCCCAGTCGCGAACATCAATTAACAACGCGTTTCGGGCAACCTGGCAGGCTCACCAGACGCCAAGATTCCCTCTCCCACGCCTGGAATCTCCGCCTCGATTGTTGCCTGTCTGTCTTGTCTTGTCACTATTCACGCCCTACTCTAACTAGTTGACGACTCAGCCAGGCCATAGACCCCCGTCATTGATCGCCCTTCTGGAATACCCGGCTCCCCTCACACTCGTATTCCTCTCCGCTCATTTTCCTCTCATGATTCTGAAACCTACCTGGCTGGTTAGCGGCCACTGATGTGAGCTTAAACCAACCCTTGCAAGCTACCCAGCACGAGGTTGTGCGTATGCGCGCGCGCTGGGATCTATTCACTCAAAAGTGATAAAGTTATGATGATAGACTGACTGAAGTTGTGAAGTGAGGAGTTTCAGGTGCCTTTTGATTATTATCATTGTACTCCTTTGTTTCACATCCTTCTTGATACCCACCTACATATACAGCCTTACGATTCTCTGCTGGATGATTAGATTATCATTTCATTGTCCATTCAGTCGTCAATAAGGTCATTCACCGTCTGTCAACCTTATCGCGGCCAATTTACACCATCCGGGAACGGAAAGTACCGCCATGTCGACGGATACCGCTACTGCCACTAACCCTGCCCCTGTGTCTTCGCCACACTCGTCTGGTTCGTCCTTGTCGTCCTTGTCATCTCCTCCGTCGGATACGAATACGTATCCTGCATCTATGTCTATGTCTGTGTCGCCGGCGAGGAAACGCTCGATAGGGGATGTAGATGGGCATATTGCTGCTGCGAAAGGGGGGGATGATACGAATGCGAATACCACTACGGAGATGAAGATTGATGGAGATACTCGTGCCGATACGGATGATAACAAGGAGAATCAGGATACACAAGTGAAATTATGTGATCTTGGGGATGAGAAGAAGACTTCGGTTGTTGGAGACTCGGCTGCCACTACGACTGCTGCTCCGGCTGCGAAGAAGAGAAAGTTGTCGCCTGCCAGTAAAGAGGCGAAGCAGCAGGAGAAGGAGGCGAGAGAGCGGCAGAAACTAGAGGAGAAGGCTAAGAAGGAGGAAGAAAAGGCTAAGAGGGAAGAAGAGAAGGCTAAGAAAGAGGAAGAAAAGAGGAAACGGGAGGCTGAGAAAGAGGAGGAGAAGCGGGTGAAAGAAGAGGAGAAGCGGGTGAAAGAAGAGGAGAAGCGAGCTAAGGAGGAGGAGAAGAAGAAGCGCGAAGCGGAAAAGGAAGAGGAGCGCAAGAAGAAGGAAGAGAAACGGAAGGTTAAAGAGGAGGAAAAGGCTGCTAAGGAGGAAGAGAAGCGGAAAAAAGAGGAGGAGAAGCTGAAGAAAGAAAGAGTGAGTTGGAACTCATCCCGGGCTGAATTGCAAGTTTTGGGAATCTAACACGCAACAGGCGCAAACGAAGCTGAACTCCTTTTTCGCGAAACCGAAAACCCCGGCACAACCATCATCATTGAACACGACTCTCTCACCTAGCAAACCGACTGGCGCTGGCGCTTCGAATGACCTTTCTCATGACTCTGGATCGACTGTATCTGACTACCAGCGCGAGTTTCCGGACTTCTTCCTCCAGTCACATACCACACTTGCGCCACCGCACAGGTTCCAGCGCGACAACGAAGCTCTGCAGCATACGCGGGAGAAAGTTGATGCCTACCTGAAAAGTGCCAAGGATGGCAAGCATGAGCCTTTAATATTTCGTCCTTCCGAGCTCTTCCAGCTTATGCCATACCAGCGACGGCGTGGACGATTGCCCGCTTCGGTCAACAGATCCTTTTACAGATGCAGAATCTTGCAGATCAGTCAGAGACCTCCGAAGCTGCCCAGAGGGCTCGCGATCTTCTGAGGCAGGTGAGAATGAAATCGCTGAAATTCAGCGAGGATGTCCGGCCTCCATACCAGGGAACCTATAGCAAGAGCCTGCCGGAGTCATCCGTCCGCCGGTTGATGCGCAATCCTTTTCGTCGCGGGCTACCGGAGACGAATTATGACTACGACTCGGAAGCTGAGTGGGAAGAGCCCGAGGAAGGCGAGGACCTAGATTCAGAGGAAGAAGAGGAAGGGAGTGAAGATGGAGAGGATGACATGGATGGCTTCCTGGATGATGAGGATGATCACCCGATTGACGGCAAGAGACGTCACATCGTCGGGGATCTAGAACCCGTCAGCACTGGTATACGATGGCAGGAACATGGCGTGGACCCGGAGCTGCAGGCGTACAAAATGGAGACCATTTCCGACTCGGTGACTTTCCCTATTGACCCGTTCTCCACTGCCTACTGGCAGAAACCGAAGGCGGCCGCGGAGCCAGCGCAGGCGGCTGGGCTGGGGCGCTCGACACTGCACGCTTTCATGGGAGGACATACATCGTCGCCATCATCACACAAACCGACAGGGACTGGGCCGGGAGCGGACGGGGGCACCCTGGCCGTTCTGACAGCGGGGAGGACAAAGCGAACGTTGCCGCCGGAGCAGCTGGAAGAGTTCAAGCAGGTGGTGAATGGCAGTGATCTGACCAAGATGGGGCTAATTGAAATCTTGAAGAAACGGTAAGACGTGGGCCCACAAGGGATGCTTGTTGATCGGAAGGCTAATCATCAGGGTCGCGCCGCCATAGGTTCCCCAAGGTGTCCAAGGACAGTCTGAAAGACACGCTGAACAGCGTGGCCACGCGGGTGGGACAGAAAGAGGCTGACAAAAAATGGGTCTGCAACTAGCCGTGGCCGGGGATTGGCAAGTTTGGCCCCCGGGAAGGACAACGCACAACCAAGGGACTGGTTACGGTTGTGTTTTGAGGCACGGCGGTTAGAAGAAGAAGAAAATAATAATGAAAAGATCAGTCACAGACCGAGAGTGGTCTTGTCGGCCAATTGAGTGGGTTGATTGGTTCCCCAACGGACGTGTATACCCCTCCTTTCTCTGCGTCTCCAAGTGTCTCCTTTGCTTTCTTTCCTTTTTATTTTACGGTTTATCCTGTCCCTCCTTGCCTAGTGTTTCATTTGTCGACTATACTCAACGTCTGGCCACCCTGTCAACCAGACACACTGACTCGGGTGAGTGAGTGGATGGCTAGACTGGTCGGGTAGTGTCGTTTGGCGAGGGGAGTTTGGGTTACGATAAAACGAAGAAAGACAAAAAGAGAGAGAGAGGGAGGGAGGGAGAGAGCACCAGTGCCAGACAAGGGACCTACGATGCATCTACATGGAAGTGTTTTCATCTCATCTCATCTCTCATCGCCTCCCATCACGTCAAGAGACGATGTTATTTCGCCCCATACATCAAAGAGGGGAAGGAGAAGGGGCTCCGTGTGGTTGTTAGAGATGATCGGAGGGGTAGTAGCAAGTCAGAAAAGGGAACTGCACATACGGCAGGGATCGCCAATCACAAATGTTCCTGAGCAAACTGTCGAGCCAGGTGGAGCGGGGAATTATAGAAACCAAAGACAGCGAGCGAAAAGAGAGAGGTGGGGGGGTGGGAAAGAAAAAGAAAGTATCTTAATAATAGATCGGGGAAAACGCAGTGCAGTGCGGTGCCAACACAACAACCACACAGCCTGCGGGAAAGCCTCATTGACATGACATGACATGAACTGACCAGACCTGACCACTGGGATTGGCATTGGAACACTTCAGAACCCGGGTAGATGCACCTCTCTCGGGGACCTACTTGCCTGCCTCCATGCATACGTACATGGCACTACATCGTAGAGTTTCTAGGTAGATGAGTGGTAATGGTAATGGCTGTTGTCGTAAGTCCAGTCCAGTCCAGCCTGGATGGCTATGGATATGATGGATATGGGAAGTGGGGTGGAGGGGATAGAACAGCGTCTAGACCAGCTGCGCGTCTGGATTGAGTGAGTGAGTGAGTAAGTGGATGCGCGTCCATTGTCTTTTCCTCCAACTAGTATCTACTATTTTGTATCTACTGGCCCATTCTACAGAGACAGAGTCCACACACACACTGGCAAGTGAGATCCATACATAGACTACATACATACATACATACCTTCCTCCATTCGGTGAGTGACTGAATGAACATGGAAGCTGAAGCGGGCAACAGCAATCCGAGGTAGGCAAGCTGAAAACGCGCTTACCCGCATCATGTAAATAAGATTGAAAAATCAAAATAAAAGATTAACATATTGTTTGGTCAGTTAAAAATTGTTGATTGATTAATGGGTAGTGAATCATCATCACAATGGAGACAGATTATTGAAACGTCCAGTTCAGCTTCCAGCTGGTGTGGTCTAAGCCCCAATTGGGGTTAGAGGGGGACCCAGCTGGGCAAGTGGCAGATGAACACGTGCAGGTGGGGGTTGCTGGTTGTCTCGCCCTGATGGGGTTTAGTGCCGCGGAGCAACAGAACAACTTTGGGACGGGAGGGACCGTCACTTATTCTCTAGTAGTTAGTCTTGTTATGATGATGATGGATGGATGGATGGATGGATTATTATTATTATTTGGGAGTTTCAAGAAGCAGTCAATCATCATTATTTAGTGAGTTGATCCGGAAGATTTGCTTACTCTTATGGGGCTTACGAAGAAGTGTCTGACCTGCAGGTTAACTAAGTAGCCAGCTAGCTAGCTAGACTTTCCATTTCAGTCATTCACTCCCTCAGTCTTACTCATTCAGTCAGTCAGTCAGTCACCCTCACCCCCTCCCCCATGTACAGCTGATCAGTTCAGTAAAAGAGACGACGAGACAGAGTGAGCCAGCCTAGAGAGAGTATCCTGACCGAGGATGGGACAAGACCAGACAGGCTGAACCCATAACTCTACTGACTAGTCGGGCCAACACAGTAAGGGGGGCGGCCAACAAATCAGTGGCTCCCGACGGAGGGTCCGTCATGCATGCATGCATTGCCAGCTCATCAAGGAATTTCTCGCTTGCTCGCTCGCTCTCTCCTCTGTCTCTCTTTCTTCCTCTCTCTCTTTTCTTCGTTCCGGGCGGAAGTTTAGTCGTTCGGTAGGGGAGAAAAGTAAGAGAAGGGAAAAAAAAAAAAAAAAAAAAAAAAAAGAAGGGAAAACAGTATCAGGATTAGTCCGGTTTCTCATCGTTTCTCTGCGGTCTCGTTGGCCTGCTGGGTTTGCTTTCGTGTCTCGTCTATCTACTAACTACTAGTACTACTTATCTTCCACTCACTGATGGAAAATATTCTTGAGGGTCAGTTGATTTTTACATGATGTTTTCTACTCAAGTCGATCATGTTATTCAGCTTTCTCCCTCATACCATCAGGAAGTTTTACCTTCTACTTAGATACATACGTGAATCTAGTTAATAATTTCCCCAGATCGGGACAGGTCAGCCGTCGGGGCTGCAGAAACTGGATGGGAAGCAAATTGGAGAGTAAATACTACTAATGTACCTGCTCCCGCCCCGGTCCCCAAGCAAGGTACAAGTGGAAGTAAAAAAAGGACAATAATCCTCTTGCCTCACCCTGCAGCTTCATCCGTCCCTGCAAGCGGCCGATTCGAGTCACCGCCAACAAATCCACGCCTTCGTTTCTTTATCCAGCCGACCAGCCAGTCACACAGCCTGACCAACCACTCTTTCCATCCAGCTCTGACTTGCTTTTCTTCGCCCCCTCCGGATCGTGGATTTGCTGGCATCCGCTAGTAGTCTCGTAGGAGTAATACTACTAAGTTAGTTAGTCCACGGGAGTTCCTCGTTAGTAACTGGACTTTGATTTTTCGTATTTCTCTTTTACTGATTTTTTATTAATCTGTTACTCTTTTTTGGTGAGTGCCTGTCTTCTCAGCTGCATGTCATCCCGCCCATGGCCAAGTCAGCCAGTTGTCCCTCCCTTATCCGGACGAGGTCGGAGTTTATCAGCCTGTGAATCATCTAACTATTCTACTGTTCTACTACTATTCTTCCCTCATTCGAATCCCTCTTCTACAACAACTACCACTATTACTTGCTTACTTACATACTGTGCTTACTTGGTAGCCGACTGACTGACTGGCTATCCCGGTGTTGGCTACCATTTGCGATTATTTGTTTCGGTGCTTAGTTCTTTTTATTATTATTATTATTATTATTATTATTTTCCACCTTCCTGGTATATGTCCCCGAAATAGTGTGGGTGTGGATTATATTTCTCCATTTTCTGCAATCTACCCCCCTCCATCACAGTCTTCATTATTGTTATTCTCCTGCCCACTGTCATTCGTAGTATTACTTTCCCCATTACTACCACCACTACTTGCTACTTACTTACCACCACCACCACCTTCTCCTCCTCACACTCCATTACCCTCTGCTCAACTTCCCCTCCTCTCTCTTTTCTCTCTGCGTGTGTCTAGTCTTCCCACTTTCCCTTTCTTTTTTCCCTTAATTCTGATCCATCTTCCTCTTCTTCTACTACTCTTTCTTCCTTCGTCCCGCTCCTTTCCCTCCCCAACCCTTCCTGACCACCAC